CCCATGCACGTGCACAGAGACTGATCAGAGTGTAGATTTATAGAAAACCGAAGGATTTAACAAGAAAAAAAGTTTACTTTGTCAATGGACTCATGCAGGTGATATTTCACCCTCAGCTAAGTACTGTCACTTTAAGAAGATGAAGATGCCAACAACACAGACGGACTGCACCCAATTCAGAATCTTCTAATGAGGAGGCTGTGCATCAAATGTAGAGGGCGTGGTTGGCATTCTTCTAAAGGTCTGATTGACTTCTCAAATTGATAAACTTCGGGTGGGCCACGCCCTTTCCTTTGCAGACCCACATCCAGAATCATGTCTCAGGCTAAATTCTCAAGTCTCAATTGTTTTTTTATGGGATGAATAAAGGATCCCTGTCGTGTTTCCTCAATTCCTCTACTAGACACCACTATTTTTCAGCTGACAATCTGTTTCCTTTCTTCATTGTTACTGGATTACAAAGGAGTCTGACTGCTGTTGTAAACAGTGGGGGGAAAGTATTTAGTCCTACCACTTACTAAGATGAGAGATAGCTGTAGCTTTCCTCATAGGTAAACCTAAAAATGGATGTGTACCTAAAGAACTGAAGGCTTTAATCTGAAGACTATAGGAAATGGGTGGAGCCTGGCGTTCTCCTTCTTGGGTGGCTGTAGCCACAGCGGCCCTTTCTGGAAATAGTTTGACACCCCTGGTCTACAGGATTTAGGGGGTGCAGTACCATGATTTGGCGACAAGAAGTTTGTACATCAAGAAAAGAAGGGGTGTCCTGTCTAGACACAGAATATCAAAGAGGTATTGGTAAATATGAATACAACATTCAGAAATTCACACTGATTTTTAAAGAATTAATTTGCAAATTCTGGAGGAAAATAAGTACTTAGTCAAGAAAAAACAACAAAAATCCATCTCAATACTTTGTTATACACACTTTGATGAGACAGAGGTTAAATGTTTTCTGCAGCCTTCACAAGGTTTTTGCGCACTGTTGCTGGTATTTTGGCCAATTCCTCTATGCAAATCTCTTCTAGAGCAATGATGTTTTGGGGCTGTCGCCAGCCAATAGACTTTTGACTTCCTCCATAGATTTTCTACAGATCTGATATCTGGAGACGAGCTGGTCACTCCAGGCCCTTGAAATGCTTCTTACGATGCCACTCCTTAAGTTTTCCAGGTAGTGTTTTTGAGAACATTGTAGACCCCACCATGTTTCATCTTAAATGCCCTTGCTGAAGGTTTTCACTCAAAATATCTTTCTCCATTCATTTTTCCCCATCACGCGAATGAATTGTCTTGGTGCCTTCCCCAAAGCATTGTTTCCACCTCCATGCTCGATAGTAGTATGGTGTTTTTGGAAGCAACTTGCTATTCTTTCTCCTCCAAACATGAGTTATTACCAAAAAGTTCTATTTGGGTTTAATGTGGCTGTAGGACATTCTATGAAAAGCTTTCAGCATAATGGACCTGGACATGTCCTGGCTTAAGCAGGGGGACACGTCTGGCACTGCATTTATAGGCCAAGATACCAACAATTAGTGATAATCTTGTGAAGATTTACAGAAAATGTTTGACCTCTGTCATTGCTAACAAAGCTATAGCAAAGCATTGAGCTGGACTTTGGGTGTTGCTAAGTTTGACTAAATACTCATTTTGTCAATAGCAAATAAATTCTTGAAAAATCAGACTATATGATTTTCTGGAATTTTGTTTTCGTTTTGTGTCTCATAGTTGATGGCAGCAATTTTCCTTATAGGTGGACATCTCATCTTTTCAAGTGGGAGGCTTTGCACAATTGGTGGCTGACTAAATACTTTTTTATCCTACTCTATTTTGTATTTTATTGATTTAAGTTTATACGTTGGTAATTTTTCTTATCTTTTTCTCTGGGGGTCTTCCCCAGGACACGCTGGAGGGTCTGTCTCTCAGCCTGCCTGGGAACACCTTGGAGGTATGTATGGATAGGGAAGTCTGGGCGTCTCTGCTTAAACTGCTGCCTCTGTGACCATGCAACAGAAGAAGCGGAATGGAGTGGATGGATGGATGGATGAAATAGAAGCATTAGATTTGCTGCCTTTTTCTTTTCTAAAACTATCATGGTGCAATCATAGACTGTAAATATTAACGGACGTAGTCACGCCTATCTCCGCCGTTCAAAAAATGGGCCAAAAATTGTGCTGTACTGGAGCTATCCAAAAAAGGCAGCGAGTGGTCCCGCCCACAAGAAAATTGTGAAAAAACGCATCTGCGCAAGCGTCAGCCGGCGCAGCTCCATTCATTTAACGAGTGCCTTCAAAAATTCACAACAACTAAACTAGAGTGGTCCAAAGACATTCACTCCCCTCAGCATTGACACACATGTGGAACGGAGCTTTGGGCCAAGAGCCGACTTTTGGACCATCCTGAAAAGACGTTTTTGAGAGGTACGAAGATGCTATATGTTAGCATTGGCTAATTCTTATTTTGGGTCCACCCCCATCAGCCCGGGGTGGAATTGCAAGCATGTCAGCACAGGTCATTTTGGCCACTTTTGAGCCGGGACCCGCCCCTACTGGGTGCAATGTGTGTTATCTCTTCAAGTGGAGACTGCCATTTCCTAATTGATATTCTAAATCTGGATAGGACACTCGAACTGGGCAACGCCCGAAAGGCCGATGCCCATATTTGGGCCGGTCTGCCTACTTCACACAGAAAACATTTTTTGTGAAATGTGTAAATCAGTTGAGAAATGTTCGAGGGGTGTGCGCGACCGTGGTGCACTTGCTCTTGTTTGAAACTGCATACATCCTGATCCTCTTCATTATGCCAGTATGTGCTTCCGCATACTGTATAAATAAATGTAAAAAACGTGAAAAAAAACGCCCGGGCTGCCAAGGAGTCAAACATTCCCGGGTCGTCATTTGGTCCCAAACACCCCTTCTCTTTCTTGATGTTCAAACCATAGACTGTATATATTAATGGACAGAGTCACGCCTATCTCCGCCGTTCATAGGAGTTGGCCATGAAAAGTGCTTTCGTGGAGCAATCCAAGATGGCCGCAAGTGGTCCCGCCCACAAGAAAATTGTGAAAAAACGCATCTGCGCATGCGTCAGCTGGTGCAGCTCCATTCATTTGAACGAGAGACTTCAAAAATTCCCCGCGAGTAAACTAGAGTGGACCAAAAAAAATCACCCCCCTCAGCATTGACACACATGTGAAACGGAGCTTGGGCCAAGAGCCAACTTTTGGTCCATCCTGTAAAGACTGCTAACGCTATATGTTAGCATTGGCTAATAATTCTTCTGGGTCCACCCCCAACGGCCCGGGGTGGTATTGCAAGCATGTCAACGCACGTCATTTTGGCCACTTTTGAGCTGGGACCCTCCCCCACTGGTTCAAACATGTTGTGGCCAAATCATGGCACTGCACCCTCTAAATCCCGTAGACCAGGGGTGTCAAACTAGTTCCAGAAAGGGCCGGGGTGGCTACAGCCAACTAAGAAGGAGTACGCCAGGCTCCACCCATTTCCTCAAGTCTTCAGATTAAAGCCTGCACTCCCACCTCCAGCTGCCATTGCTACAATTTGTCTGACATCACTGCTATCATCACACAATAGGTGGAAAAAAATGCTCCCCTGCACCACTGAGCACTTTTATTAAAACAATAGTCTGCTTTCTTGAACATTATAGATGATATTATGGTTTTTAATGTGTATCTTCAATAAATTAGCCACATAACAAAGTAAAGTCTATGAATATTTGGATCATGATTTACCACAAGTTTCCCCGGATGCCCTATCAGGCACAGATCAGTCCATGGCAAGACTCCTGATGCCTGCCATCCACTGATCTCAGGGCAGGTAAGGCACATATTTTGAGCGAGTGGAATGTGGTGTAAGTTTATATGAGAATTTATGCAAGACACTATGTATACATTCTTTCTACATACCATCCCTGCACTCCCTTCAGTGAGGTCAGCACTATATGGCGCATTGGGACATTGTTCAATTTCGCTGGATTAACTGGGTCAGGAGGTCCCATTTACAAAGAGAGTGTCTTTATCAGAAGGAAATTCAGCAGATTGACAGCTGAAAAAAATCATGACGGAATTGGACCTTGCTCTTTTGTCTCCTGTGGGCGGAACTTCCTCACCCACTTCCTGCTGAGTAATAGAGAACTCAAGGGAGGATTTATGCATAGCTAATAGCAATGACAGGTTACTTGTACAAGTACAACTGAAAGTACACTACTGTACAAAGTATTTAATTTATGGGTGTGCACAAACAAGTCCATCTGGCAGTCCGATCAACCCCCAAGGGCCTTTACCATAATCTGCATGGAAGGATAGTATGATGGTATAATAGATCCACGGTAAACTGTCAAAATGGTGAAAATTGACACCAGATGGAATGTATCCTTGAACATATTAATAATTATTTGAATGGCAAATGTTTGAGGTCAGTTAATTCACCTAATTGTGGCATCAACAATATTGAAAGGGTTTTTGATTCTGATTGTCACTTCTTTCTATGTAGAGAATTTTAAACGGTATGGAGGGATCATGCTCCATCCTACTGTCAAGGGAGATGGCTCTGGATCCCTGAATGGGCTTTGCGCCATGAGCACAAACCTACCCCGCCATTTTGAACAGCTCCTTGCGCACAAAATGGTTCTGTGCAGTCATTAACCCTTTCATGACTACCCAGCATAAGGCAGTCCATCAGGGGAGCAAGGGAACCAGATGCCACTGTTGTGCTGCCAGCCGTAGACGGTATACCAAAGCAGAAATAAGGAACAACAGCCTCAAAGTAAGCAGTGATTAGTATTAATACTGCCTCAAAACAAGGTGCAATAGCCTACAGGCGTGAGGCTCTTGCAAGGGAAAAAGGGGCAGGGAGCAGGGAGCGCGGCAGAACTACCGGAAGGACAAGGACTTGGGCCCCCACTCGTGACCGTAAAGGGGCGGGCACAGTTGAGCCCCACTCGGTCATTGGCCCTAATAATGCGGGTGTACACCGTAGTCACGAATGCACGTATTGTGTAACATCCACGTACATGTTCATGATGGAGGAAGATTGGCGTCTTCTGCAGAGGGAGCCACTCGTACCTTAGAACGCACGAGGTTGTTCAGACTGCGGACGAAAACGACAAAGGAAACGGCGAAGAGCTACAACAGAATGTTTTTCATCACCATCCATTGTTTGCCCCTCGCCGTACAGACGGGGTTTCTCAAAGTCACCGCATGAGCAGACCTCATTCAGCGGAGCAGTCCGGGTAAGTGCTTCTGTGCCCAGTATCTGTTGTGTTCTGAGATGATATAAAGCTAGGTGGCTAACTAGCATCTAGCCATAGCATGTAGCCTGTATAAGGGCTAACCAGGCTAGCTTTCCCACTCTGGACTCTGTACAGTCTGATCATATAATTCACATGCTGTAAATGTGTTTTCTGCCTGGTAATGACAGCAGGATAAAAAAATATATATATATATATATATATAATATATATATATATATATATATATATATATATATATATATATATATATATTATATATATATATATGGATATAAAAGCGTGATTAGTAAGACAGAGTCTCACTCCGACTGGCCTGTATGTCGAATGTATACATCCATCCCCGGATTTATGGATGAGAAATTTAATACATGTGCTTTTATTGGTTATAACAATTTTACTTAGACGATGGATGATGCATAACTGTACCGGATTGGTGCATACATTGGAAGCTGCATACTGATGCATACTGAGCATTTTCAACCTTGGTTTTATACTATTTTACTTAAATGGAATGCTACAAAAAAAAGAATAAAACAAATGTGTTTATCTGATAATGTTATTACTAATGTGTTGTTGTGCTTAAGTCGTTGTGCTACATTTAAGAGACAGAAGCCCCATGCAAGTAGTGAAATCCTTCATTTATATTCAGAAAAACACATTGTGTCTTATGTTGACCAGTTTCTTATCATGCTCTTGTAACTTATTTGTCCGAAATAATTTTCCACTTAGAACGTTTATATGGCACTGAGAATGTATTCTCCATGAATATTATTTTAACCATGAGTGGGCTTGCATCTCAAAAAACCTGACTGAGAGACTACTCCTTTTTTACATGTTACTTTTACTGTAACTTAAAACTGAATTGCAGTAAGTCCATAGTTCAACCGAGATCAGATAATATTCCATAGTATGTGTTTTTAATTGTTAATTTTAATATAAAACCATGCCAGATAACTCCTCCACAAAATTCCGTTCTGTAACTTTACTACAGGACTATTGACAACTGTTTATTCAAGTTTATTATGGTGGCACATACTGGCTCTAATATAGGTTTTGATAATCCTTCATCAACACATTAATTATGATGTAATTTAATATTTGTATAAAATATTTGATAATTCATTAAAGTGTAATACAAAATAATACTTTCCAACGATACGTTTTTAAAATCTCAATCGCTTGAATGTCATAGTTGACTTGCGATTAATCACTATTTAATCACACATTAAATATTCTTTATCTCCCTTGAATAGTTGTTTTAATATTTTCAGTGAATAGAAAAGTTTTAATTGTTTTTTTTTTTATTGAAAATGTGTAGTGTACACTTGATGCAAAATGTCATACAATTCAATGCTGTCAATAAGCAGGAGTACAACATGTATAGTTGGTAACAAAAAGCCTCTTAAACTACCCTTTCTAAGGAATCAAAACAGTGTGATACATCTGGTCACTCGAGACATAAAGTATCAAAGTTTGTTCTTAATTGCGCTATCCATGTGTCTTGACAAGAACGCGGAGAATAGTTGGCATCAGGTCGTTTAACGCGTTAATGCAAATTTTGGATCACTATTAAAATATAATTAAGGAAGTAATAACTATATTACCTCATTAGTAGAGCCAAATAATAAGATAACATAAGAGTTCCTTTATTCGTCCCACAGTGGGGAAATTTCGTTGTTGCAGCGCACATACAGGACAGTAGTAAGAGCACACGGGGATCACACAATATAGGGCCCTATCTGTATGTAAAAGCCTGATCTTATCAGATCCCAGAAGCAGGCAGGCTCTGGTTAATACTGCGATGGGAGACCTCCAAAAATACCCAGCGCCATAGTGGGTCAGTGGCGTTGTGTCCTTAGTCAAGACAGCCAAGTTTGATTCTGGTGTGTGCATGACTGGTTGGTGGTGCTCAAAATGCCAGGCTTGCCAATTCTGTCAGTTTGTCCCAGGGCAGCTGTGACTACAGTAGGAGTTTTGCATGTGTACGTAGTCAATAAATAATGCCATGTGTCTTTGAGTGACCCAAAAAGTACATTATCTTTATGAACTTTAATGTGCGAATCAAGGATACAGTGAAGTTGGTACTTTCTGCAAAAGGACTACATTTTATCAGCTATCCAATCAGGATCTTCACAGGGTTCATAGAGGTACAATTGTAGGGTTTTAGTTGAGGAAAATGAAAATGAATAAATGATCTTGATCGAAATCTAAAAGGTTATTTTTTGTAATATCGTTCAACAACATTGAAGCCCCTTTTGACTTTACAGTTGTTTAGGTCAATGGTAACAAGTTTTAACAAGTGATGACACTTTTGGGGTCTTAACGTCCTGAGGCCTATGGACCTGATTTGGGCCCCAATCTTCAAAATGTATCAGAATCAGAATCATTTTTATTGCCACGCAAGTAACAGGAGGTCACAGACTTGGAAATTGCTTTGGCTCAGTGCAACAGTCAGAAAGAGATAATAAAAATAAGAATTAAAAAAAAGTACTGTAAATCTTAAAGGTTTTGTCATGATGTAATTCACAAGGCTTGGTAATCCTTTATTATCTTAATCTTAATCCTCGTATATAATTGAAATGGCAGTACAGTTTTGATTATGCAGTAACTGCAGTAGCAACAAAACAAAGATTGGGTGAACTTCAATGCAGTCATTGACATTTTGAAGCGCCACCTCAGTTAATCACTTTTGGCTCAATTATTTGATATTTGACATCTCATCACAAACTAGCTATTGCATTCAAGTAGCTTTTGCTAACTATTGATGTTATTCTTTTAGGTCTTGGATTTGCTTAGTGCTTGTCGCTTGAAGAGGTTGAGAAGACTATTCAACTCAACTTTTTGTCCTTCAGTAAGTACAGTATTTTTCAACTGTTTATATAACCCTCTCGCACTGTTAAGGACTGTTCAAACTGGGTTGTATAATTAAAGATGGAACATGTGTATTCTAATTCAGACACAAAATACCAGCATCATCAATACTTTTTGTAAAAAATGTATTTTGCTGCTGGTTTTCCCTAAAATCCTTATGATATCTTCAATCTTGTGATCCTCCATGTGCTACTCACAGCAGAATGTTAAAAATAAAAAAACAAATGTTTATCATTCATTTCTGAAAGTATATCAGAATCATTTTATTGCTATGTGAGTAACAGGAAGTCACAAACTAGGAAATTGCTAGTTTGTTTTTAATACATTTTGCGTTGTCTCAGCCTCACACCCGGAAGTGTGACGTCACAGCTCACAGCTTACTGGCTCATTCTTAATGGACAGTGGTTCCGACAGCGAACGAGAAACCTGCATAAAAACCTTGTCTATGAACAGAGTATTAACAGATGAAGAGCAAAGCGAGTTACAAGCAGTCTTACACCTTTTGCCACATGTTTGAGCATGATGCTTCCTCGGATAAAAGGACAAACGCAGACCCGGAAAAGGACCTAATGAGGCGTTTAGAATGCGACTTGACGCAGATCGGCACAAATACACAAACATGCCTCTTATACAGGGAAATAAATAGGAAAATAATATTTAACTATTCGTTAGGGCCTGTGAGTGTGAAAAGTGCTGTCCAAACGCCATTACAACAACAACTGACTAGACACAACTTCAATTCTCGACAGCAGCACTCACACATATAAACATATTACAGACACCAGTGAGACCGCGAGGTAAAGAGGGTTCTAGGGGCCCTCAAAAATCAGTTCTCACATTTCAGATGTTTTCACGTTAATCAAGTAAGTAAGTAATGTTTATTTATATAGCGCATTTTACAGACCAAGGTCACCCAAAGCGTTTTACAATGTTCCAAGTTCAGATATTATTCCAATCATTCCACTGGCGCATCAGCCCCCAATCAACACTATCCATTTACTCTCATTTACATTCATACCTATTGTGCATGTTTTTAGTGGTAGGGTAAACCGGAGCACCTGGAGGAAACCTACGCAGACACGGGGAGAACATGCAAACTCCACTCAGAAAGGCCCAGTTCCGACCGGGATTCGAACCCAGGGCCTTCTTGCTGAGAGGCAAGAGTGCTATCCACTCAGCCACCGTGCCGCCCGATATGAAATGAAAAAACCATTAATCAAATCAATGGTTTTCCTCACAGACTGGATACATGCATGCTCCCTAAACGGGGAGTAACAGGGGTTTAGCCTGGTCTTACCAATATTCAGTCTATGGTCTGACCATATCATGTAGGGAAATAAGAATTGACCGGAGTTTACGGATAGCTAAGGCTAACAGGGATTTCCTCTTGTCACTTTTAACACAAAGGTACAATCAAACGCTGTATTCAAACTCAAACATTTGTATAATATAAATGTGATAACATTTAGAAATTATTTTAATTATCAATATAAAAGGCTGAACATATAAGAAGCAGGGGTAAAGTCTCCGTGTGAGGAACATGTGAGGGTCCCGTAGTTCTGCAACTTATTGAAGTTTGTTGACCGTTCTCACGAGGCTGCGATCAAGTCCATCCCATGGATCCATCCTCGTCTCTAACACATGTAGCTTAGCCTTCTTCCTCTTCTTCTTCTTTCCTCTTCTTCCTCTACCGTCAAAAGCCTCCTCTTCTCCTTTGGTCTGAAGCCTATTGTGCGTCTGAGCAGTGCATTGCAACACATCTTCTTGTCATCTCGAATATCCACCGATTTAGTGCGAAAAATAGACGAACAAAATGTAAACGAGCGCAATTGAATGGAGGAGATGTACTTCCGGATCAGACCGGTGCCTGTCGTGACGTCACTGAGGGATGATTTTTTTTTTTTGTAAGGACGTTGCTCTGGTCTTTTCTCGATTTTTGGGGGGATCAGACAAAAAAACAAACTTGATTTTGAAACCCTTAGTTTCCCCTCTTCTAATGTAAAATTATATTAAAACTTTATTTCTAAATCAATACAAACCCTGCATAAGGTCTTTAACTCATTCACTGCCAGCCATATATAAAGCAGCATCCCTCAGACTGCCATAGATTTTGGATATTTTTAGTGTTTTTCCAAACCTAATATAAATGTGAGCCCTTGGTTGAAAGTAAGTTTCTACCCCTTTTAGTTTTTTAGCAATTGAGAGTACAACATCGGTAACTTTAACACAAAATGCTGTTTCCTGATCAAGATAGAGAGAAAACAGCCTTGTTGTGACACACACATTTTTTTTTTCTAATGACCTTTTACAACATATGAAACTAGTTCTTATGACACAAAACAGAAACAATACTTAGAATCTTATTTCTTATTTTAAATTATTTTAAACAAAGAAAACAATGTACCCACTATACATTCAGTTTTGTCGAATGTTCATATAAAATAATCAACTTGTACACAATAAAAAAACTTTGTATACAAATATACAATAAACTTGACTTTATAAACTAAAGGAAATGATTGTTTCACAAATAATAATTTACGGCGACTATGGTAATCCATGAAACACTCTGCGCGTTAAGGGACACAACAGGATGAGCACCACATTTTTGTTTCACTGCGCTTCCCTTTGCGCATACACAGACCCTACACCTTCTTACTGGTCTCAACTTTTTAGCTGTGGGCCTCATGTGTTCGAGCCGGTGTCGACTTGTATCCTCATCAAGTCTACGGGCTGGGTCAGTGTTGTAAGGTGCTCTGGAACACCTTCCTTCCTCCAAGCTCACACCCCCCTGTGCACCTTCCCCTTCATCAGCACCTCCATCTCCCCTCTCCTCCACCACACGGCACTTTATTCGCAGTGTGGTGAAGTGCTGGACGGTAAAGCGGTGTTTTGCACGGTATATCACACATGCATTGAACATGCAGAGTTTGAAAATATGACACAAACTTTTTGGACCAGTATAGGGACCTGCAAACAAAAGGATAATAATCAATATTTCGATCCGACTTGTCCACCCCATTCATGTACAAGTTGTATACAACCACACACTCTGGTGGCAGGTGGTCACCATCTTGACAAGGCGTTTGTCCCGCCATGCTACTATCAGCACCCTCTCATTGTGCCGCACAACTTTACCTCCCACCCCCAAGTTGCTCTTGGTCATCTCTCTGAACTTGTTGGGCTCGCCCCTATTCGTCCTGAGCATACCACATACATTTGTTTTTGCCTTCAATAAACGCTTACACAGTGCCTCTAAATTATAGAAGTTGTCCATGTAGATCGTGTACCTGTGACCTGGGAGACGATCCAGAAGATCTCTGGCAGTGTACTGGACTACCCAACACAAGGCCGCATATTAAAACAATACCCTGTGCCAGAGTCACACAGTATGTATGACTTAATGCCATACTTCACAGGTTTTTGTGGGTTATACACCCTAAAGGCACGCCTTCCCCACCACTGCGTCATTCCCTCATCAATGCAAATATTTTGATGAGGCTGATACAGCTCCCTAAACTTACTCACCACATAGTCTTAACACAGGACAAACTTTATACATTTTGTCTGCAAAATCTGTTTTTGGGTCATCCTTATAATGCAGAAATTTCCAAATTATCTGAAAGCGATTCCTTGACATGGTTTTGCTGCAGTATGGGGTGGAATCTACTTCATCCACATTCCAATACATTTCCAGATAGTTTTTTTTTTTTAAATAACCAGTGAGAAATATCAAACCAAAAAAATGTTTTGAGCTCCTGGACTGTGACTGGCTTCCATGCATTCTCTCTGCTGTATGGTAGACTCTTTGTGTGTACACTGAATATTGTGCTGCATACAAGTTTGTCTGCTCCACAATAAGCTCCAGCAGTTCATTCATTATGAAAAGCTGCAGGAAGTCAGCTTGCTGAGCCGAGTTGAGCTCTGCTACATCATATTGGGGACCTGGGGTCGTGGTGAATGGCATCTGGGTTTGGCGTCCGCCCATCCTCTTGCCAGTCCTCACCAGAACCACAGCTTTATTTATGACCTGTATAATAGACATATACAATGTTCATAAAAAATAAATTCACATTTATAAATACACATGTTGAGCTAATTTGTTAAAACGCAGGCCCATGTACACTCTTTAAGATAATATCATGATTCATTTAGGAATAAATACATGCACATATTTATTTATGCCATGAATATGCATGAAGAGAAAAATATATATCCTAACTAGAACCATACTTTTAGGTCCTACTTTTCAATTGAATATACATTGAAGTTGGATGAACAGAATATCCAATCTCCTACAAAAAGAAAGTATTTGAGTAGCCTATATTAGACAATTCATGTAGAAGAGGTGTGCCCGCACTTTATCAATCCAAGATTTACTTTTACAGAATTTATTGAGCCGTGACTCACCTTGGACTCGTGGGTGTTTATCATTAAGAACATCAGATTTGGTTTATGGTGCAGATGTGATTCAAGGTTCAAAGTTTATGACCATGTTGTGTTTATATAATTTATCTGTGTGCCTAAGATCTACATTGCAAATGTCCTAATGACTGCTGAATAACTATTACAAACGGTACAAGATAGAAAGATGGATACTTTATTAATCCCTGTAGGAGAAATTAAGGTGTCCAATAGCAGCAAAAATGTATCATTCTAAAAAGCTAACAATAGTAGTAATAATCACACCGCGTTGACCCGCTGTGCCACACCGGCCCTCACCACACAGCGCAGCGCAACAGAGGTGGTGCTGCAGCGCCATGATTTGTTCCAGCAGCCATAGAACAATGTGAAATTGTGACGAATATGACCAGTTGGTTTGGCTTTGACATAGTCTGTAGGGGGCGCTAATGGGCCAATTTAAATTCTTTCACTTTCAAATGACCTAGACCCTGGAGTTGAACAATGGATTCAAGTTTTGTGCAAACGGGAGCTATTTTTCTGTTGTACAAAATGGCAATAAAAAAAAAGTCTGATCAAAAATCCCTGAAGTCATTTTGATGGTACATGTGTTGAGATGATCTGGAGCGATTTTGAGGCCAATCGGTGAAACGGCCGAGGAGTCGCTTTCCAACCGACATGTATGAAAATTATTGCTTTTCATTTTACAATGAAATTTATGGGCTTCCTGTTTGTCAGGGGGCGTGGCCATAATAACTTTGTTTTCATGTCTTGACTTGAGGAATATGTGTACCGAATTGCATGGCTCTATAACGATTTTGACCTCGAACCCCTCCCATAGGCGTATTAAATTGGCTGTTGTAGGTGGCGCTAATGGGCCAATTTCAAATTTTTAGCTTTCAAATGACCTAGACCCTAGAGTTAAACCATGGATTCAAGTTTTGTGCAAATCAGACTTTGTATGTGCAAACGGGAGCAAATTTGCTTATGTCAAAAATGGCAAAAAAGATCACATTTTGCCGGTCCGCTGCTCAAACAACATATCACTGATCAAAAGTCTGTGAAATCAATCGCTCCACATCATGTGATTTTGAGGCAAATCGGTGAAGGGGACGGGGAGGAGTCGCTTTCCAACCAACATTTCCACTTTGAAGTGAAATGTATGGGCTTCCCGTTTGTCAGAGGGCGTGGCCATAATAACTTTTATACCATGTCTTGAGTTGAGGTAGCGTGGTCGTACCACACCATAGTACTAATTACATTTCGTAATGAGGTCTGGAGGCGCTCTATTGACTCCGTTTACAGGTGGGAGGGGTTAACTCCTTTAGCATATTGAAACGATTGGACTCGGAGTTTACCGTGACGTATGTAGTGTGCCCGCTATCGGAGCCCATGGGGAGCAGCGCCACAATTGTTTCTAGCTATTACATTTGCTAAACATTACTCTTGCTCCGGCTTCAATTTCTTGATGGAATCAGACTGAATTACTTTACTATTGCATTTTTCGCCATTGCCAAACTTCAACCTGCCCTTTCGACGGCGCAAACTGCCAAAATAACTCACATTTTGCTGCTCCGCTGCTCAAACAACGTTTCACTGATACAAATTCTCTGAGGTCATTTTGAAGGCACATGTGTTGAGATGATGTGGAGCGATTTTTGAGGCCAATCGGTGAAACGGCCGCCTAGGGTCGCTTTCCAACCCATCACCCATCACCTGTACTTCTTAGCAAGTTTTCCCGACGTTTTGTCCTTCATCTAAAGGACTTCAAGGGAATGAAATCTCAAACAGACCTTATATGTTAAGGAGTTAGCTTCAGGATTGAAGGTTATAAATCTCCAACACACGGTCTGAGATTTCATTCCCTTGAAGTCCTTTAGATGAAGGACAAAAGGTCCTTCATCTAAAAAAGACTGACCTTCATCTAAAAAAGACTGACCTTCATCTAAAAAAGACTGACCGGGGTCAGTCTTGTTGTTACTCGGGAGTGTTTGTTTAGAGTCAAACTAATGCTGCAAAAACAACAGTGGCATGTGCAAACGCTTCCTCCGCCCTCCAGGCAGATCACACGAGGGAGGGACACTCTTCAGAGGGGGTTATTAGTGAGCATGCAAATGAAAGATGTCCGTGGATATCCATGGATATCCATTCTCCTTTATCCTTGGTGCTATCTCCACAAACACCTTCTGGTTTCTGGTGGCACCATCAAGCTCACGTTGGTGTTCTCTCCTCAACTGAGGAAGGTCTTGACTGCATCCAGCAACCAAGGAATTGTTTTCCGTTCTGAAGTCTCTATGGGTCAAGCCAAAGAGTCGCATCAGGCTTGCGACCCGCAGGATGGCCACCCTTGCACTATAGTTGCTTCATTATGCTAAAGTTAGACATTTTATTTCAGTATAGTTATTGTTCACTTATTTTGTGCTGTCTGCTCCTCATTCTTACTGTTCTGAAACTGGTGATGCAACACTGAAATTCCCCCTCTGTGGGATGAACAAAGGATCTCTTAATGGTATAGTGCTAACTGAAATTAAGACACGTTTTTATGGTTAATCTGCAGTGTAGCCTATGCAGACCTACTCACACATCTTTGATCATACAGGCCTTTTGACATTATGTAGAGTTCAAATAATTTTCATGAAGTAGTGTAATACTAGTAGGCAATGGGAATATCTTTAATAATCCTCATCCTTAATGAAATCTTTGTGGTTGTGACATGACAAAATGTGCAAAAGTTCAGGCTGTTTAGATACATTTGCAAGGTTCTCTCAATACGTTCTGGCTGCGCAATTATAGAAAAAAATAATTAACTTTTTTTTTCAGAAGTTAAAGTATCTCAGGTCTTATTCACGTGAAGGAATGATGTGTGAGATTGATTGACGGATCAGTGCAGCATGTCAAGTTATCCAGTTGCTGTATTAGACTGTTGTAATGAAGAGGGAGCTTGATTTACTGTTAAATCACCACCCACGCCTGGGGGACTATGGTGGATTATGACTCTATTGACCATACAATTATGGGCTATATTAATCCATTATGAATCAATTTTCCAATATATTACATAGGCTTGCATGAAGTTTTTATTTTCTGTCAGTTTGTAATCCTCATTGTATTTTGATTGTGCAGCCCTATTTGGAATGACATTTATCTGTGGAATTTTAAACTATCAAATACATGTTACTAACATGACACTGATATTTTTCTTACAGGATTTCCAAATATAATGCACAGCAAACGGGAAATCCCTGATTCCTAAAGTATTCACGAGGTGGGAATTGTTTGCTTTATGATGTTGTTTTCTACATATTTGTGCCTACCTAAAAATGTGTCTCTTTTAGGGCTGATGAAGTATGTCTCATCGTTGGAACCCGTACTTGCAAAAGTATTCACCTCAAGACCATGGGACACCTGCCTCAGAAATGAACCATCATTCTACAGGTGGATGTATGAGTCATGATGGATTCTCTAATGCAAGCGTTCCACATGGAGCGTCTGGGACAAACACAAACTACAGTTTCAACAATTGTGTTGGCAATGCAAATGATTCCAGATGGTGTCCAGAAATGGGAAATTGTCAAAGAAATTCCCGGGAATGGCAGCCTGATGGAGAACAAAGTAACTATGTGACTAGATGGGAAAACGAAATGCCAAATTATGAACAGAGGGTGTCTGCAACAGCTGGACACCATTCCATTCCCTCACAGCCACAACTGGGACTTCAACAAGAACCTGTGGTGCCCACAGGAAGTCAGTTTCTTAGCAACTACAACATTCAAGGTTCCTCGGGTGAAGGACTAAAATCATCCTTTGGATATATGACCAGCACTTCTGTACATAACCCACAGTCCATAGATTCTGAGAGCTATCACTCAGAATGGCTTCAAAAACAGCCTGAGGATACTAATTGTGACACTGAATACACATATCCAAACAATACTTGGCGGGATCAAAAGGCTGAAAACTCAACCAATATGGTCCAAGATAGGAGTAAAATATTTACGTGTGATGGAATTTCAATTGCCAATTCAAAAGCATGCACTGGCTCAGAGACACAGGGTGTGGCTAGTTTTGGCCAATCTTGCAAGCAAGAGAAATTTGTCAACATTTGTCATGAGTCTTTTGTTTCTGAAACATGCAAGGACCATGAAAGGCAAGCAATGGTGAATATAAAAGAAACAAATGAGACCATTACTTGTCCTGATTCAGCACTTCCAACTTTCAATCACAATCGATCCATAACAACCCAGGCATACAACCCCACAACAGAAAGTCCACGGAATATAGCGTCCTCTTTAGACCTACCTGATTCTTGTCAAAATGAAATGGGATTTTCGAAAGATGTATTTAGTTCCAACAAAAATACTGATAGAGTGAACAGTGATTTCCAATTGATCAATAACTGTGAAAAGCATTCACAGGCCAGTACAGCTGAGCAGTCAGATGAAGAGATGGAGACTGTTTATCCTCAATCATCACTAGCTTTGTGCAATGCTCCTACTGGTGATGTTGGTTCCTCTGAGTCCTACATGCAACCTGAAATGGATCATTGTGTACATTCTTCAACAGAAACTTGGAATGTGCAGCAAGCAGTACAGTCTGATTCTTTCAGCCATTCTGTCAATGTTGGCGAAATGAGCACTCAATGTGATGCCCCACCAGAACAGACACTAAATGATGCTAACATTAATGTTGGTGTCACTGATACGTCACATGACAAAGGTTATACTGAAAAGAACAATGTTGTGAATGTCCTTGGATCACTACCTTCAGAGATGGCATGTCCAGCAGAAAATAATGGTGAATCTGATGACACGGCAGGTGTTGTTGAAAAGGATGTCATCAACAAAAAAACAATCAAGCCTGATTCAGAGCAAGCTTCTGTGATGGACAGCCTAAATATCACACCAGAAAACGAAACGTCTGAGGATGTGCCTAATGACAGACAAAGCCAAAATGAACAGTTTGACACAACTGTCGAAAGAAGCAGCCATTTTGTTTCCACTCTTGGTGAAACCAGTAAACCAGCTGAGTCTGTGACTAAAAAGACAAAAAATGATGAGGAAATCAATCGTGCCGTTACTGATACTTCACATAACTATGAAATGGTCCTTGCAATATCGGATACTACAGCAGATGGTGATGACGACAAACCAATAATTTCCGATTTAGAGCAAACTTCGGTACTGGACAGTCTGAATATCACAGAAGAAATCAAAATGTGTGGAGAGTCTGATGACAAACAAAGTATAAATGAACAGGTTAACGTTGCTAATGAAAAGGAAAAAATTGACAATCAGGTGGACTTCTCAACAGAAAAGACAAACAATTCTGAAAAATTTGATCTCTGTCTTGATGATGATGTGTATAACCCTCAATGCCTGGCAGAGAATAATTGTCATTCAGATGGTGACAACAAGAAACCAAACATTTCTGATCCAGAGAAAACTTGTCTAGTGGATAGTCTAAAAATCATCAAAGAACAAGAGCAGGAAATTGATGAACAAAATAGATGTGACCAGATTGACACCACTGGTGAAAAGGAACTGCAGTTTTGCCAAAGCCCTAAAAAATCTATCACCGATAAGATCTTTGAGCTGAATTCTCACACAGAAAGTCACCTCTCAAATGATTTAGAATGTCCAAATGATTCTGAAAGAAGTCCAAAACCAAGCAATTCTGATGAGTCCATTTATGTCGATGGGGAACCTCTGTCTCCTTCCTCTCTTGATGAAGAAGAGCTGGCCGAGCAAGATTATGACCCTATGGAATCATCATTTATTGAAAAACACCCAGGTATGAAACCCTCTACAGCAATGTGGAAACGACTTCATCCCATTGTTCTTCTAAAGACTTCAGAGGTAGTGGATATTACAGGGAACAAGTATGCGTGTGCTCAATGTTCGCACATTGCTTCTAATCTGGATGATCTAATTGAACACCATAGTCTCCATGATTCGATGCATAGTTTTCAGTTGTGCAACTCTTGTGGTACATATTTTGTATGCTCTGATCAATTGAGTCAACATGTCTGTCGTCAAAATAGTCAAATACTATGTCCAAATTCTAGATGGGGTGAGAAAGGAAGAGGCTACCATTGCAACAAATGTGGACTTAAATTAAAACAATGGTATAATTTTGTCAAGCATATGCGCTCACACACAGGAAAAACGCCTTACAACTGTGAAAATTGCGGAATATATTTTTCGCAAAGTGCCTCATTGCGTAGACACCAAAAAAATTCTAAACATTGTGCAAGGCCACAACCAGATCATAAAAGTCATACTTACAAGTTTCATAGAAGCCCAGTAAAGTCAATGTTTAGCTGCTTTGTAAAACTCAGTGACATAACAAAAACTAATGTTTGCCAGTATTGTGGTAAATGTTTCAGTAGCAAGTTCAAGGCTACAAAACATTATTACAATGTGCACAAGAAGCCTGGTACAAACAAGCAAAGACCGAAGCCTTCTCGGACAGCAGCAGAACTCTGTTCAGATGAGTACAAGTATAAGTGTCCATTGTGCCCACAGAACTTCTATAATCAATTGAACAGAAATCAGCATGTTAAGAAATGTGTCCGGGATAAAACTTTTGGTGGTAAATGCAGAGTTAACAAAAGGTTCCAGTGTCCATTATGCCGGGCAACATTCAGTTTGACTTCCAACAGGTATAGACACATACAGACTTTCTGTCTAAAACATTTTATGTCTTATCTTAGAAGTGGAAAAACAAAGATGCAAAAAAAATGGCATAGGTATTCAAAGGACATGGCAACTGTGCTTGATAAACTAAAAGCAGATGAAGAACAACTAAATGGGAAACTGGAGTCAAATGTCAACGATGTACAGTGTGAACCAAAATATCGGTGCAATCTCTGCCCAGCAGTCTTTTTTCATTCATCTGGACGATATCGACACATGAAGAAACACAAACTTTATGAACGCACTGGACAAAATGTCACATACAAAAATTCTATCAAGAGATATATTAAGCGCACAAGAGGAATGACTAATACTGAGGAGAAATCCCAAAAAGATCATGTCAACCAAGGTGAAAGGCCCTACAAGTGTACCCAGTGTGGGAAAGGGTTCAAGTCCAATATCATTCTTCTCCAACATAAAGTTACTCACCAGAGAAAGGTTCAGTGCACAGTCTGCAAAAAGATTCTTCCAACCATTGGAGATCTCATTGAACACAGAAAGTCTCATATAAATAAAGGTTTGCTTCAATGTCCAGATTGTCCAATGACTTTCACTTTTCCTGTATTTTTGTTAAGACATGTAAAAACTCACCTGAAAAACCAAAATAAACTACTTCAGGAGGAAGAGAAAAAGAGCGTCCCTGTTGACCCCCAGCCCCACTGTGAAGGAAAACATTCTTGTCCATTGTGCAATCAAGTATTTGATCAGGCACAACTCCTTAGCCGTCATTATTTGACACATGATGTTCGTCATGGTGCTGATTGTCCATTTTGTCGACGCAACTTTACAACAAGGCGTAATTTGGCACGCCACATGGCTAGACACATGACTGGAAAACGTTTTTTATGCAAATGTGGAACACGATTTTTTCAAGTAGAAAAGTTAAAATTACACCGTGAAACATGTTCATTAGTGGGACCATCTTGCAGATGCCGTTATTGCTCAAGACCTTTTCTTTATCAAGTGCATCTCGATAAACATCATATAGCTCACCAGAAGAAAACTTTGACAAAATGCCCAACATGTAAGTTCTATTATGGTTTTTCAAAAATCTTTCAGCACAAGAGAATTTGCACTGGTGCAGAAATAACTGACAGTAGTGCACAATCTCAAAAACCTGACCAACAAACTATCCTAAATGTTTCATCCAAAGAAAATCCATATAAATGTCCACACTGTCCTGAGACATACAAGTACCCCTCCCTTTACAACAGACATGTGGCAAGACGACACAAAGATGTGGAGACCCATGCATGTATTCTGTGTGGACAGAACTTTCCCAGTCGTCTTTTGTGCTCTCAGCATGAAGCGTCCTGTGAAGGTCTTCTCGGACGTGATAAATCAATGAAAAGAACAGAAATGCATTCTCAAAGACATACCAGTGAGTTCAAATGTAAATTTTGCAACAAGAGTTTTGCAAAATCACGAAATCTTCGATGTCACATTTTGACCCATAATGAAGCGAAGCCTTATCGATGTAAAGTGTGTGACAGTTGTTTTTCAAGATATGACCACTTGAAAGTTCATATGGGTCGTTGCAAAGGGAAGCTGCACATGAGACCACAGATCTGTATACCTAAAATCAGTTTAGCTCTTGTAGGTACAGGTTGGAAGAAGGCACTTTTGCGCACTAATGTCGAACGAGGACAAGCATTTGAATGCAGGATATGTGGAAGAAGGTATACAACTAAAACAAAACTTAATTGGCACAATTCAATGATGCATACTAAAAAGCAATTTAAATGCACACGATGCTGTTCATATTTCTCTAATGAAAAAACTCATCAAAACCACCTGAGGTTTAGAAAATGTATACTAACTTCCCCCATGACCAAAAGGTCAGATGGACCAGAAACAGAGGATACAAACATTTCCTCTGAAAAATGCAACAAAATACTGGCACGAATTCAACCCATTCCGGAAAAACACAACTTCAGCAAGATGATAAAATGTAACTTTTGTCCCCGTACATTCCGATCAAATGCACTTTTAAAAGTCCACATGAATCTTCACTCTGGTGAGAAGCCATTTGGCTGTGGTTGCGGCAAGGCATTTTTCAGAAGAGATCATTTGAAACGCCATACCAAAATCTGTAAAAGAAAACCAACTGAAAGTCCATCCAGTGGTTTTTCCTGTGCATATTGTAGTTCCAGATTTTTGCTTTTTTCCCAACTGCAGCAGCACTTTTTAAATGCACACAAATTAGAGACAATTGAACCAGTGACGACTACACCACTACAACAGCATTTATCCAATATTCAAAGAAACGAGTCATCTCAAGCGTCAAAACTCAATATGGCAATTTATGAAAAACGAACAAGTCCCTTTGTCTGTGGTATTTGCAGTAAAGGTTTTTGGAATAAACTTCTACTTCGCAATCATTTTAGAAAATGTAAAAGACTGGACTCCAGCACCAACGATTTTATGGAGGAGGAAGTTCCTTTAAGAGCAAATATTGAAATGGTACTTGCTGACCCTCCTGCTGAATTGTCAACTGAAGAAGAAATGCCAGAAACGGAAACAAAGTCTTCTGCAGAGAAAAAGACCTCAGTGTACCAATGCTCAGAATGTGATCAAAGTTTTACTGATGGACTGATGCTCATAAGCCACCTTGAGGACCACGGAAGAGAAGAACAAGAAAAAAGACAAAATAAATGTCCCAAATGTGGAAAGATGTTCTCTAGTCAAGCAAAGTGTGAAAACCACATGAAGTTGCATGAAAGTCGCACAGGTGTTTGTTCAGTTTGCTCCGCAGAGTTTAACTCAAACACAGAACTTGATCTTCATAGAAAACAATATCATGACACCTCCAACTCCTATTCGTGCCGTTTGTGCAAATACAGGTTTAGGTCAAGAGTGTCTTTGTGTGAACATTATATCAAAGAGCACCCAGATGAAATTTTCACCTGTACTCTCTGTGGGAAGAATTTTACTCTGAAAGGATCCCTAGTGAGACACATGAACCAAAGGCATAACCAGAATGATATAGGTAATTTTGGTAACCAGATAGATGGAGCTGAGAAAGCACCAAGCACTCGAAGCGGAGTTGACAAAGTACCAAGTGCTCGAAGCGGAGTTGACAAAGTACCAAGTGCTCGAAGCGGAGTTGACAAAGTACCAAGCGCTCAAAGCGAAGCTGACAAAGTACCGAGCGCTCAAAGCGGAGCTGACAAAGTACCAAGCAGTCGAAGTACATCTGAAAGTGGCGATGATTATGCTGATGACTATGTTTACGATGATAGTGACAGCGCTGATTCTGACTCTGCCCCATATTTTCCATGTCATGTGTGTGGCAAGACGTTTACAACATCAGAAAACCTTGAGGACCACCAACGATGTCATACTGGTGAAAAGCCGTTTGAATGCGCTCAATGTGGGCAATGTTTCTTTCAATCTGGCCAATTGCAACAGCATGAACGAAAGCATAATTCTGAATATCAGTGTAGAATATGTGGCAGAGGTTTTGTGTCTCTTTTTGCGCTAAGGAAGCATAAGCACACTTCTGGGAAAAAAAGACCTTTCCAGTGCTCAAAATGTCAACTTTATTTCAAAAGTGCCTCTCAATTAGCAGAGCATACTCTCAGTCACCAAGAGGAGAGTTTTCCTTGTGACATATGTAACCGTGTCTTTCCTTCGAAGAGTAGTAGAGTAGAACACCGGAAGATTCACTTGCCGAAACAAAGTCATACTTCTAGACAGTGGATGCAGGCTCCGGTTGTGGAGGTCAAGGAACCTGCCACTGTGACTCCCTCTTCCAGCAATGAATTTAAATATCGATGTGGTCTCTGCTGTTTACGCTTCAAAAACCCAGAGGACCTTTCTGAACACGGCTGCTTACCTGGCAGTGAGCGTCAGTACTCTTGCATGGACTGTGACAAACATTTTTTGCACTCCTCTCACCTGAAGAAACATCTGAGCACTCACAAGCAGTCGTCGCTGAATAAATATCCCTGCAATCAATGTAACAACATATATTCAACTCCTCAGGACTTTCTCAATCATCTCTCAAAACATGATCAAGTGATACGATATGGTCGACAAGGTTATGTGTGTCCAGTGTGCCATGAGAGTTTTGTGAGTCCTTCTAAATTAGCATTTCATTTTCCAACCCATCCAAGTGAAACATTCGAATGTAGAAGTTGCAAGAGTACTTTCCTTACTGCGAGCAAGCTGATACAACATACATGCGCTCAAAAAGAGAGAAAGTGCCCAAGGTGTGGTAAACGTTTAGGGTTAAATCATGTGTGCTCTCAAAAACCCCAAGATGCATCATTTGGAGATGAAGATGAAATTGATGTTACTGGGGAAGACATGTGCCATTGTCCCTTCTGTCCAAGACAGTTTTCTTCCAAAAGCAATCTGCTGGAACATCAGAACAAATATCATCCAAATGAAAAGACATATAAGTGTGAAATGTGTGCCCGAACGTATGCAAAACAAAAGTATCTGGACAACCACATCAAAGAATATCATCAAAAACAACCCGAACAAAGTACATCGCAGATTAAGTTTCGGTGCGGCTCATGCCACCGCGAATTCAGCTCTGCGAAAGATCTGTCCCTCCATTTGAAATTACATGCAGCAGAGAAAGATGTTGGCGATTTCCGCTGTGATATGTGCTACAAATCCTTTAGTCATCTCAGTTCTCTTCGACAGCACCAAGAAAGTCATGTCGGGCAAGTAGTTTATGAGTGCACCGAGTGTGACAAAGCCTTTGCTTTCCCACACCTGCTGGAGGTTCATCAAAAAAGTCACGGTTAAGTTTCAAATTTCAATGCATCAAATACTTCTGATCAAGGATGGGACGAGATCAGAAGTCCAATATAGACTGTATATAGAGATGGAAGTTGCTAATCTGTATCCGTCCGTGTCATGCTCACGATTTTGGGCTTGGGAATGTTTGATATAGTGCTCTAGATGATCCTGGTTCTTTTTATTTTGATAAATTCTTTTGTAAAACCAGATATTACTTGTTATAACTGACAAATCAAGTGAACAGCTTTTGATTGGCACTTTGGTTTCTATGAGGTTGCTGTGAGCTAATTTGGCTCGAGTTTTTTTGTCAAATTGCCTCAATATTAATCGTGTAAACATTGACATGTTGAGATAATTTTATCTGAAGTGTAATAAACAGCTGAGTGGGCTTTACAAAACACTAAAGACAAATTAGATTTTTTTTTTCACATTACCGTAGGGGTTTGGCCTTTATTTTTATCCCTCTTAATGTATATATTGTAACATTTTACACTGGGGGTGAATACAATGCATGTTAAAGAAGTTTCTGTTTTTTTAAAGAAACATACTTTGTTTTATTTTTGATATTGTGTATTGTTTCAGCTTTGTTCGATGATGAAATATTTGTAAGTAGGCAATTTATTACTCAAACTGGACAACATTTCTATTTGATGTATCTTTATTTTATTTTTTTTAACCCAGTAAAGTTTATCTGGAAAAATCAATAATTTGGAGTTTTGTCATTTTTATTATTGATGTGTTATTATCTAAAGCAGTGGTGGGCAAACCCCGGCCCGTGGGCCAGATGCAGCCCTTTGGATGCTTCTATCAGGCCCCTGAGCCCTCCTCAATTTATATAGATTAAGATCAAGAGAGATTAGGATTAAGAACATTTATTCATTCCACAGTGGGGTGATTTCAGTTTAAACATCATACAGTCCCCCTCTGTGCTGTGTGCAGAGCCATTTTTTTTATAAACAATACATTTATGTTTTAAAATGAAGCCTGAGAAAAACATTGGAATATCAGACGGCTGTCGGGATCCGGACCTCATTTCCAATGTGGCCCTCAGGAGGAAAAGTTTGCCCATGTCTGATCTAAAGCCACTGTGATATGCGGCACAATCTTTAGATATGTAATTACATTTCATAAAGCAAAAATCTGTCATGCAATGTTTTTGCATTATGTAAATAAGAGTAAACCAAACCAATCTACAGCTATTATCAAACACAAGTTGTACATTATGGAATTAACACACAAAAATAAGTGGAAAAAGGTTTTTGATCAAACTATTGTGTATGTAATGGAGCTATAAAAATATTTTGAAAGATACAATTCCCCCTTCTAGGATAAATACAAGTTGCCATTGGTAGCTAATGAGATAAAATAAACCTTTTTTGTCTCTGTGAAGAAATTCCATAAATATAATTTGTACACATTACTGCAGAATAGAAGGAGAAATAAGAGCACTCAGAGAATGCACACATCAAACAGGATCTATTTAAGATATAATAAAATAAGACCATAAACTCTGGAGATATAATTGCACTTGGATCTTTGAGTGAAGTTGGCAGCAGTCGTTTCACATTTACAGATGGTTGGTATTGTATTTCAGTAGTACAGATTAAGTCCAGATAAACAATGGTAGTAATGGCAGCAGGTAAGGTGGCAGGTGAATTATCATAACGGATGTATGTAGTCATAATAGCAGGGAAAGTGACGAGTGAATGTGTATGAATAAACGAAACTGAAAATGATCGTACAGTGAGGACTTGCCATACATTAGTTGGCGCATGCGCAGTACAGTGTAGGCTTTCTGGTAGGCTGCTGCTGCCGCCTTGGGTTGTGATGTTCCGCCTTTGTTAGGTCCGCACTCGTGTTTTGCCCCATTAGTTTTTTTCTACACACAACACTACCGCGTGCTTCACATTTTAGCTTTTTTGAGAGCGCATTTTGGAGCGGTGCGTGTATAAAACAGACCCAAATCTTCCCATGAGTGCTGAGAGAGGAGGCACTCTGAGGAGGACCCATACTCTGTGGACTGTGGAACTCTGCAGGAAACATCTCCAGATCCCGCGGTTGAAGTGTGTGAATCCTGCCGAAGAGCGTGGCGCCTAAACTGCACCGATCCTCACATCTATGCCGGCCAGAGCGGCGGAGAAATAGCCTCCTCGTCCCGGGTTAGTGTGCGCTCGCATTTGTGGTGGATCTTGGTTAGCTTAGCGCCCACTTCCTTCTGCAGCCTGGTGGACATGGGGCTAAGCTAATAGACAGCGTCCATGAGCAGTCGCCATTGTTGGATTGTTTTTGCCTTGGAATAAAACCGTAGTGCACGTAAGGCTGTATAATTAGTCAATGCACTATTGCACCTACCTCTTCCGATTTAGTGGTAATAGTACTTGGCTTGTGTCCAGTGTGACCTTTTTATGTCCATACTACACATGTTAAATGAAAGTACCCTTGCTGTCAGTAATACTCGACCTATGACTTCTTTTGGTGGCATATCATTTTCAAAGTTTTTGGAAAATAAAGCTTAAGCCTTAATACTTCATGAAGGCTATTTTCTACATAATTAAATAAGAATTGGGGACCATCTACTTGCCATTGCTGTGAAGATTAGACCCCCGCCATAAGAAAAATAAAACTGCTTTATTATCTACAAATAGAACCTCAGATGTATAGGAATGTTAATTTAATTAATGTATTGTTTGTAACTAATGATCCCTGAGTACATAATTATTGCTATAATTGATGCTATTGAAGTAGATGCTCTACATATTTCATAACTACATATTCGTTGTGACCTCAATGTTTGTGCTTTGCAGGCGTTTCCTTGTCTCATACGGCTGTAACGGTCTGAAGAGTGGGCAGGATGCTTGGACTTCAGGGAAATGCGTCCTCTAAAGTGTATCAGTGTGGGGCCTGCCCTGCCAGCTTCTGTGGGCTGGCATCTCTGCTGGTTCATCAAGCGACTCATGCAGGATCATTGCCCAAACCAGGACCAAACCCAGTGCCATCTACACCCATGTACATCTGTGACTGTGGAGAAGAGTTTTCGGATTTCAGTGTAATGATGGAACACAAACGGTCTCATGTGTCCGAAGAGCAGGAGACGCAGAAATTACATAATGATGAGGTGAACACACTGAGCGACTCGACTGTGGCACCGACTGAGAAAGATGATGGAGAGAAGGCTCCTGCTGCTGCGGTGGCTGCTGCTAATGCTAATGCTGCTGTTGGAACTTCTGCCTGTGAACTGCCCCCAAGCAAGAACACCGGAGAAAATGCAGACAAGAAAGAATCTGCAGTTCAAGGTAATGACACAAAGGACCACAACCCTGTGTCTGCTGAAGCTGGACAACTGACGGAAAGGGAACTGGCAGCGGAAGAGGAGCCTGAGGAGGAAGAGGGAAATCAAATCGATGAGCCGGAGCCTAAAAGTAAACTGATGGCAATTTTAGCATCTGCTTATGGTAAACACATTGTGCCTAAGTCTGAAGATGGCAAAATTAAAGAAGAACCTGAACCTGTTGCTATTGCAACACAATTTAAAGAACTGTCAACAGTCACTGATACGCCATTAAAGGGCCTTCTTAGGAAATCGGGTACGAAGACAAAGGCTCCATCTATTGGCAAACTTCTGGAGTTCAGCACAAAGAAGATTGTTTCTTTGACAAAAATCTTTTCACCTGTTGTGCTTCTGGAAACGCGTAATAAGTTTATGGATCCAAGCACTAACCTGTATGGAAAATATCTATGTGGCCGCTGCAGAAGGGTTTTTCAGGACGCTGACAGCTTGACAGAACACCACTTTCTGCATAAAAAAGAAAGGATTAAATGTTGTCGATGTTGTAAACAACTCATTATTGGAAGGGTTCCTCTCCCTGACAATCACTTCTGCCCACTGGCCAGAGGCAAGACCACAGGCAAGGCCACAACAGCTTCACATTCTTCAAAAGGTATAGCCTCTGATGGTCAGAAAACAGTGCACATAAACCACTGGAACAACAGAAAAAAGGTCTACTTTTGTCCAATTTGTAAGCACAACTATGCTCGAAGGTACAATCTTAAAATGCACAAATGCCGTGGGCCACCACAGAGAAGGAATAATGAAGCAGAAGCCCATCTTGATGTTTCAGTGGAAGGAAACTCTTCCCAAAGTGTTGGTGTTGGGACCAAGAGCATCAAAGTAGAGGACACCTCAGACCAGGAATATGAAAACGAACTGTCAAATATGAGTTGGTCTTCTGCATCATCTCAAAAAGACCAACATTTAAATGCATCTGCATTTGTTGCATCTTTTCTGCACGAACAGAACAGTAATTGGTCTGGTGCATCAGATAAAGATGAAGGAAATCAGTGGACCATGCCTTTGAACGACATAGACTTGTTCCCTCCTCCAGGTACAGATACAAATGCAAGAGTCAGTGATGCTGCATTTGTCAATAAATCAAACTCCAGACCTAGGCATGTGATAAAAGATGGAGTTAAGCGTCACTTTTGTCACAATTGCCAGCGAACATTTAGCACATCATGTAGTCTAAGTAGACACAAAAATCTATGCTATAATAACGGTTTGGGGGGTGGTCCTAATTCAACTGGCCTGTTTATAAATGCAAACAACATAAAAATGTATTCGTGTTATGTCTGTGGGAGAAACTTCAATCGCAAAGATAACATGATGACTCACAGAAAGAAATGTGAAACAAGACGGACAATGATTCCAAACAATGTCAGAGAAATAAACCCTTCCCTGCCCCCTCCTCCAGCTCCCCCGGCTCTTTCTAAGGCTCCCCCACCACCCCCTGTGGAGCAGGAGCAGCAGCAGCAGCAGCAAAAGCAGCAGCAGCAAAAGCAGCAGCAGCAAAAGCAGCAGCAGCAAAAGCAGCAACAGCAAAAGCAGCAGCAGCAAATGCAGCAGCAGCACCACCACCACCAGCAGCTGCTGCAGGACGAGGAGGAGGAAGATGCAGGTAGCTGGAGCGTCATGTCTCTGCCCTCTGTTCTCCCCAGAAGAGTCACCTGTGAGTGTGGCATGGGCTTCACATCTCCCAAACTTCTGCTGGAGCATCTACAGAAACACGCTCAAGAGTCCTACACCTGCCCCACCTGCGGAGTCACGGTCAACTCATGGGCCGATTATGAGATCCACCTGCAGCTGCACATGCACCCACAGCACCATAAACGACCACAACCTTTACTGCTGCGAATTAAGCAGCCCACAGCAGTGCAGCCCCGGCCTCAACCGGTTCTGCATAATTTACCTAAAGCACCCATTGTTCCCAATGTTCCCCATGTTCCTATTGCTCCCAACGTTCCTGTAGTATCTGCAAAACTGCTAAATCGACCAGAGCAACGTCGGCGTCCAAAAAGAAAGACACAAAGGACTGTCTGCTCAAAATGTGGCAAAAGCTTTGCCAGTCGGTGTTCTTTGCGCAGACACATATCCTGGAATCGATGCAAAGCACTCCGAATGGCCTCCTCAAACAAAACGTACCACTGCCCTCTTTGCAATACGGACTTCCCAAATGCCATCAGTCTTCTATTTCACCAGAGGGGAGGAACCTGTAAACCTGCCATTAAACCTGTGCGCTGCCCCATATGTCTCCGCTGGTTTACCACCACAGATGGTTTGCAGAAACATCTTCTTGCACACAAAAACTCTGAGACTTTTCGCTGTGACGTGTGTCAAGGAACATATCCCAGTTTGAAGTCCCTCAAAATTCACCGCCGGAGAATCCATCGCATAATGGTGAGGAGTGGGCCTCCTGATGCAAATGAACTGGCTTTTCCTGGATCGGTGTCTGTACTGCATGATCAATTAATTTAGCCTGCCATGTGTCTTTATTGCTTAATTGACATTCTCTTTAGATTAAGGCTGATAAATCAAATAAGACACTGTATATACAATTTACTAGATTAAAAACATTACATTTTGTTCTTGAATATTTAAATGTTATAGAAAACCTAGGGATTCCTTTCTGCTTTAACCCTCAAATGTCAATAAAAGTAACTAGTTAAACCATGTGTGATCTTATTAAGTGACATTAAGAATAATACTAATGAACCTGTTAAAGGTATGAGTGGAAATTGTTGTCATAGTTCAAAAGTAGGGTTATTGTATTTTATTATCTTTGTTTTATATGTAGATTTAGAAGATGATTTTAGATGTATAATTGGTGTTTTATTTAGATATTTTCTTTGATAAGATAAGAATTCCTTTTCGTCCCACAGTGGGGAAATTTCGAGGTTGCAGCGCACATAGAGGACAGTAGTAAGAGCACACACAATATATACAAATAAGTAGTAGCTATGTTTCTTAGCTAACATAACCAGCTGTAGATGCTGAAAATGCTTCAATACCAGTCAAAAATTATATATGTAGATGTAGTGCAGTTACATACTGTACAGTTAATTAGTGCAGGATAAAAAGTAAAGTGACATTGTTCTGTGACATTCTGAAGTTGCAATCATTGCACATGATTTAAGAATTTACTTAATTACAGATGAATGAAATTTACAGGCTCAGCAGTTCTTATTGTACAGTCTGACAGCAGCAGGAAGGAAAGACCTACGGAACCTCTCCTTCACACAGCGAGGGTGAATTAGTCTGTCACTGAAGCTGCTCTTCAGAGCAGAGAGAGTGTCCTGCAGGGGGTGACAGTCATGGTCCAGCATAGATGTTAGTTTGTCCAGGAGTAGGACCCTCCTGTCCCCCACCTGCTGCACTATGTCCAGGGAACAGCCCAGGACTGAGCTGGACTTCCTGATGACCTTGTCCAGCTTCTTCCTGTCCCTCTCTGTGATGCTGCTGTTCCAGCAGACCACACCGTACAAGATGGCTGATGCCACCACAGAGTCATAGAAGGTCTTCAGGCCCCTGCACTCCAAAAGACCTGAGCCTCCTCAGCTGGTAGAGCCGGCTCTGGCCCTTCTTGAAGAGGGCGTCTGAGGGCGTTTGTAATCGGTGACTATTAGACCTGTCAAAAGCTGGTCACTCCGAAGCGCCACCTGCAGGTAAATTGTAGAAAGTTATGTTTAAGGTAATAATTGACATTGGGAAACAACTTAGTTTTAGTAAGGGATATTTACTGTCATTAACTATTAAAGGCCATTTGTATCATAAGATAAGATATATATTTATCTCACAAGGAGGAGAAATTTACATGTCACATTTGGCATGGATAGAAACACTCAGATTGTACAAAAAAGGGAGGAAATGTGCAAACATGTTAAATGCAGGATATATTATGTACATAAAAAAAGTGGCAATCAGAAATAGTGTCAATTGTAGTGCAGGTTTTTCAGTCTTATACATTGACTTAAAGTGACTTATCATGCACCAAGGAAGTTGAAAGGAATATACAAGTGTTATTGGATTTGCCTCAAAAGGTATGACGCTATATCCCCACCGGCTGCATCCTAAATTCAGTTTTAAAAAACAATTATGACTAAGTCGTCCCCCCTAGTGCTTTGAAGGGGTACTTTTTATGAACCGGGCAGACTTTGTGGAGTGAAATGTAACTTTAATAATTAAGTTAATAAAAAAACAATGTGAATTTAAGACACAAAAATCGTGTTTTTGATAGACCTAGGCCGCAGTCTCCGGTTGGGTGTTGCAGTTCGCACTCCACCAGTTGGCGGCGGCTTTGCACTGCCTTCGCTGTTAGGAGACCGTCAGTCAAATTAATTACAGGAAGAAGAAAATGAGGCAGGAGCCGAAAGAATATGTCTGTTTTTATCTGTTTTAATTAAACAAATGGCACAAAATTCCGCTGTATCTATTGCCAAAGAGCGAGCTCAGGCAGCAGAGCATTGAGGCGCCTCTCTGGTCCCCTGCGGAGGTAAGCTAATGGGAGCTTTGTGCCATGCTAACGCTAGCATCAGTCTTCATCAAACAAAAGCGGTTTATGTGTTTCCTACAAATCGCCTTTTCATCGATTGTAGCTTTATGTTTATTTGAAGGCGAATGCAGCTGTTTGATTATGCCTTTCATGGTGTTGCAGAAAGAAAATATTCCTTTGCATTGACCAGGCCTGTCACAATCATTTCTATTTCGACTTATTGTTCAATATCTGATCGATTTAATGATATATTTAGCAGCTCAATTTTTATCTTGAGTAGACGTTCTTGGCTGTGGTGGAGCGAGCGTTACAGTTTTTTTGTAAAGTCAATCAACTTTTAACACAAATGCTTGAATATGTTTAATTGTTACTTCATTTGGAGAGGGTTTTTTTCCTAGCCCATGCACTTTTATGATTTAGAGAAAACATTTTTAGAACACACAAAATATAAAGAGATAACTAGAGCTAAGAGCAGTAGTGTATATTTTAATATGTGTGTGTGGGCAGAATAAATCGTGTAGATAGAGTGACGTTCAGAGGACTTTCTGAAATTGAAGTATTTACTATTTACAGATGAGCATAATAACATAATAATAATAACGTATCAGTTTTATATAGCGCTGTTTAGAATACTCAAAGACGCTTCACATGTCATTATTCTTTTCACTGCAAACATAACACACAATATGTAATGTTACCACTGAATTTATGATTGAATAATTGCTGTTTAACATATTTTTGTTTTAATCAACAGGGTGAAACGTAAACATGGCAAGTGTATTTCGAGAGCTGCCTAATGTGCTGAATGATGGACTCAGCACAGAACTGATGAATGCTGGTCGGTTTTGCTTCAGCTGTGAGCAGATCTTCTCGAGCAGAAAATGCCTCGAAGAACATGTCTGCTCTGTTCCATCGTACATCTGCTCCTGTGGGACAGAGTTTACTTCATACAACGACATGCTGCTGCACAGTACTTCCCACGAACCAGGGCAGCAGGCGCTGGATCATGAAACCATAAAGAAGCGACGCATTGAAAAGCACTGGGAGGTGGATGAGAAGCTCAAGAGACTCCAGTCTGGTGAAGTTATCTGGGAGAGTCCAAAGCAAGCATCTACAAAAGCTACTGTTCAAATGTCCATGTCACCCCAGATGCCCCATGGTCCAGGGCAGCTACGCGCATTACCGCAGATTACTTCTAATTTGAATAAAAACAACTCAACATTGGGAACAGGCAAAATGGTCTCCGATGTTGGAGCTCCAACTGTGGATTTATGGACACTTTTCCAACCTATCGTGGTAGTGAAAACATTGCGCTCATTTTCCAAGATAAGGCCATACAACTGTGGAAAATGCGGACAATCTTTTACAACAAAAAAGTCTCTAGTGATCCATCATAGCATCCACATAGCAGACAAAGTATCTGGCTGCATCGGCTGTGGTCTGCTCCTCTCCAGTAGGAAGGTGGTTCCACGCTTCCATTCTTGTAACTCTCCACATGGCAATAAATCTAAACTGATCACTGCTAGACCAATTAACCAGATCACTGCAAATATGGCCAACGGCATAGCCAAAATTGCTCCTTCATTTACTCCACAGAGCGCTCAGAATAACAATGGTTCTTACAGCAAAGCAAGAATTGTCACAGACGTGAATTACCACCCTAGCACTAGCAAGCATCCTCTGAAGCCTATCCAAATAAAACCCGTTGTTTCAAATTCTAAATTCGTGGTGGTGAACACGCCTGCACCTCCACCGCCGCCCGCTCCGGCTGGAGTGACCCTCACTCCGGGGAAAGGCTATGAGTGTCGCGTGTGTCATGTCTACTTTGAGAGCATCAACGTCCTGCAGAGGCACAAGTGTGCCAAAGCTCACGAGTTCCTGATGAAACATAAACTCAGCGCTCCAGGGAACAGGCAGAGGTCAGCGGCACCTTTACAAGTGCCCAGTTCATCTGTGAAGAATGTGCCCAAGCCCATCCTGCCCGCCCCCATGAGCAGCACTGATCGCAGACTCTCAAACGTGACTAAAGACACATCCACAGCAGCTGCAGATGATGACTGCTTCATTGTTGAAAGTGGACCAGAGAAACCAGCCGAGGTCATTTACCAAGTCACCTCTTCTGTCCCCATCACAACTTGACCTGCCTGATTGAGAATTGTGGTCATTGCTATTACCACTAAAGAATTATCTGGCTCTTTGTTTGTACAGACTAATGTTGTATCATGTTGTAACACGCACACACATTGAAACATGGAATAAACAGGTTTATGTACATTGATAAAAAGTTACAGTGGTTTTTTATAATAAAAGATATTTGTGTTTCAGAGTCATGTGAAAATGAGACCATGAGAAATTAACAATGTAGAAAATATAAACTTGGCTTATATAAACTAGGCTGGTGTATTTTGACTGACTAAAATCATGTTTCTCACCTAGTTTAACAAAGACTGGAAGGGAAAGCTCTGGTTGTGGCCACGTGCACTTACGTCACTTCCTCGCCTCCCACCATTTTACTGTATTCTGCAGAAGAAAACCCTCGTGTTATTATTGCCGATGGCGCTTGCATGTTGCCTGTGCTCCATGAATGTGTTCTGCAGCTCGTCCACGTGTGACTCTACGACGCACGGCTGCACTTAACTGGTAGGTTCCACTCACTCATGTCACGTCATTGTTATGTTTTAGAATCCATTTGATAGTTTTTAGCAAAAACCCCTATTGGTGCAATTTGCTTCTATGATGCATTTGCATGTGTCCAGTATATAATCATATTTATTCACTCAGTTGCAGTGCACCGCTCAAGAACAATACATTATAAGGAAAAAGATAAATTGCTGCGGACACTCGACCTTCAGTGAAATATTTGTTTTTTTTTTGTATGAAATTGAATATATAAGATACAATACTCCAGTGTTTTTCATTCAGGCACGGTAGTGTGCCTCGATATGTTGTTTGGTGTGCCTTTTAATTATCCAATATCCCCTAATTGGGAAAAATGTCATTTTTAGCTTACGTAATTTTCTTTATAACACGAAGAGAATGGCTTGGCCCTTTTTAATATAGGATAGTTTCGTTGTTACATCTGTCTCGGGTGGTGGTGTGCCATGTGATTGTTATCAGTGAAAAAGGTGTGCCACAGCTCAAAAAGGTTAATGCTGAATAATCATTCAATAATTATTATTATGGCTGTGACTTGTTGAAATAATGCTTTACTTGCTGTGCTGATCCTGACTGCTCTTTATTTATTTTTTTATCCAAACCGATTATTTTTTTCTTTTCAGTATTTGTTGGAAAAGACTTCCCAAACTGGGCCATAAAAGTTGCTGCTATGCTGGGACTACTGGGAAACACGTCCTCCTCTAAAGTGTATCCATGTGTGGCCTGCTCTGCGACCTTCAGTGGGCTCGCCTCTCTTCTGGTTCATCAAGCAACTCATGCTCCACCGAACCCCCAACCAGTGCCGTCCACAGCTATGTACATCTGTGACTGTGGAGATGAGTTTCTGGACTTCAGTGCAATGATGGAACACAAACGGTCCCATGTGACTGAAGAACAGGAGCTGCAGAAATCACATGATAATCAGGTGACCACTAACGAAGAATCATCCAACACACTAAGCGTCGAGACTCCTGTTGGAAACGACGAAGCGGACGTGGTCCATGGTGCCGGGGCCGTGGTCCATGGTGCCGGGGCCGTGACCCATGGCGCCGGGGCCGTGGCCCATGGCGCCGAGGCTGTGGCCCAGACTGAGGAAGCTGTTAGAGAGGATGCTGCTGGCCCTTCTGCCCATGAACTGCCTCCAGTCAAGAACACTGGAAAAAATGCAGTTCACGGTAATGACACTAAGGACTACAGCCCTGCGTCTACTGCAGCTGGGCAACTGATGGAAAGGGCACTGGCAGCAGAAGAGGAGCCTGAGGAGGAGGGAAATAAAATGCATGAGACAGAGCCCAAAAGTAAACTGATGAAGATCTTGGTGTCTGCATACGAGAAACACATTGTGCATCAGTCTCTGTTTGAAGACAATGGCAAGACCATTAAAGAAGAACCTGAGCTGGTCATGATATCTCAAGAATCAAGAATCACTGAAACAACAGCCAAACAATTGAAGCGTCCTGGGAAATCTGGCACAAAGACAAAGGCTCCATCTATTGGCAAACTCCTGGAGTCCAGCACAAAGAAGATTGTTTCTCTGACATCTTTCTTTTCACCTGTTGTGCTTCTGGAAACGCGTAATAAGTTTATGGATCCAAGCACTAAACTGTATGGAAAATATCTATGTGGCCGCTGCAGAAGGGTTTTTCAGGACGCTGACAGCTTGACAGAACACCACTTTCTGCATAAAAAAGAAAGGATTAAATGTTGTCGATGTTGTAAACAACTCATTATTGGAAGAGTTCCTCTCCCTGACAATCACGTATGCCCACTGGCCAGAGGCATGGACACAACACCTTCACATTCTTACAAAAGTGTTGCCACTAATAGACAGAATACATCACACATGAATAACATGAAAAAGGTGTTCTTTTGTCCACTTTGCAAACATCATTTTCCTCGGAGATCAGATCTAAACATGCATAAATGCCAGTCTGAATCAAGTCCTTCTCTTCAAACGAGGTCAGAAAACTCATCCCAAAGTGTTGGTGTTGGCACCAGGAGCATCAAAGTAGAGGACACCTCAGAACAGGAATATGAAAATGAACTGTCAAGTATGAGTTGGTCTTCTGCATCATCACTAAAGGAGCAGCATTCAAATGTCTCTGCATCTTTTCGACAAGAGCAGAACAGTCAATGGACCATGTCTGTAAACAGTGAAGGAAAAATGCCCTCAAAAAGACGTGCACGTCTGAGCTTTTTTATTAAAAATGGTGTCAAGCGTTATCCTTGTGACAACTGTCCCAAAACATTTGGGATGTCAAGTAATTTAAGTCGGCATCGAAAACTATACTGCACTAACTCATTATCTTTGGGGTCTGGGCCAAGTTCAAATCGCACACTTGTGAACACAAGAAAAATACAAATGTTTTCATGCTATGTCTGTGGGAGGAATTTTAATCGTAAAGATAACATGATGACACACAGAAATAAATGTGAAATGAAACGGACAATGATAACAAATAATGTCAATGAGATGAGCCCCTCCCTGTCACCCCCACAGGCTCCTTTTCCCCTCCCTGAGGAGGAGGAGGGGGAGGAAGAAGATGCAGGTAGCTGGAGCGTCATGTCTCTGCCCTCTGTTCTCCCCAGAAGAGTCACCTGTGAGTGTGGCATGGGCTTCACATCTCCCAAACTTCTGCTGGAGCATCTACAGAAACACGCTCAAGAGTCCTACACCTGCCCCACCTGCGGAGTCACGGTCAACTCATGGGCCGATTATGAGATCCACCTGCAGCTGCACATGCACCCACAGCACCGCCGCTCTCTGACTCCTCTGACGCTGCAGCTGAAGATGGATGTTCCAAACAGTCTTCATCAGACAGCATCACACAGTCCAAAAGCTCTGAAAAGCCTAAGCAGAAAACTTTTCACTTGTCCAAAATGTGGGAATAACTTTGCCACACGCTGCTCTTTCCAGAGGCACTTGACCTGGACTCAGTGCAAGGACTTTTGAAAATATGGATCTTCACAAATGAGAGGGGAGCATAAGTAGTGATGTCACACACATATTTCCATCCTAATGTATAGACTTGATAATAGCGACCATATTTTGCTTTTGTGTCAATCTGTTGTTTTATTTTTTAGTTTCTATGGTTACACATGGTTTTATACTGTTTATGACATGGTTCCAAATATTTCTAAGATTTCTATTTTTTTTAAATCTATACATGCAATTTTAAAACAGATTCACTATTTTTTGTAATCTTTAATCCGCAGATACATTTTAACTTGAGAAAAATTACAATAAAAGTTTTTTTTATTTTATTTTAGTTGTTTGAAAGTTCAGTACTTTTTTAATCTTGCAGATGTACAAGTTCTTCCTAAATAGCATTAAAAATGACTTTTTCTTCTTGGTTTTAACTATGTAACTGAGTGTGTTCACAGTAAAGTGACAATTGAAGTATCTGGACTTTAAAAGGTTATAACTTAAAAACTAAAATTTCATAGATTGGAAAAAAGATTTCAAACACAGACACATTGAAGAGATAGTGTGGAAAAAATCAAAAGGAAAGATTGACATAAAAATGTTTAGCACAATTTTAAACGACCAAATCAGCCTCTGATTGGATCATTCTACTGTGATGCCAGTTACATAGAAAATAAAATGTCCTCAGTCTGAAAAAGCAGAAGATGAAATCCCACAATATTTACATGGTTAACACAACATAAGTAAATCACTTGATTATAAAAAGGAATCGTGAAAAAATAAAAATTAATTAAATGACCCCTGAAAAATGTATAACGGACGTGATGAGGACGGTCCTCTTTTCTCTAAAAACTAAATCTGGTCTGTTTTCACATTTAATTGCTTGACAATATGAAAGTATCACTTTGCATCTACTTTGTGTAAAAAAAAAAATAGAATCTCTGAATCAAATGTGGACATCTGAAAATACCTTTCAAACTTCCACAAAGCTCATTCCGTCAAATCATCATCGTCCGTTACATAAAATAAACAGGGCCGCTATAGGAAACTTGTCTAATGTATAAAACAGTTATGTTCTAGCAACTTCTAATGGACAGAGGAGGTGCTTGGAAACATGAAAAACATAAAATTTCTTCTGATTATTAAAATCAATTTTTTGGCCTTTTGTCACACTTTTGTGCCCTTTAGTGTGAACAAGCCCAACTACAAGGTAACTTTGACAGTGTTATCTGTACATTAACGTGTGTATGTTTTTTTTTTTTACCAGTGTTATGTATGTTAAACTCTTCACTTTTATCCTAGTGTTAATAGGCAACTTGTGTTTAGTAACATTACCATTTATGTCTTAAATAGATTTTCAGATAGTGTATGTACTCTGGTTGTATTCATTTAAAGGTATTGACAGAATACAATGTGTTCAGTGGGAATCTGTTTAATAGTGGCTTATCTGACATTAGTTTGTTTCAATATAAAATTCGGAAAATTCACAAATTGAGACAATACAATACTCAAACAGCTCGACAATGGATTTAAGCCCTTATGACTCCGGTCTGTTATCTCTTGAACACATACACCAATATTATTAAAAAAAACATAGTAAAGCAAAACAAGGTGTGAAGTACTTTTTCTCTACCACATATGGCCTCAATAGAGGCCAATTGTGGTTTAAGGTCTGATACTTAAAAGTTCTATAAGTGAGGGGTCTGTTTATTTGAATGGGGTATTTAGCTATAGGATTACATAATCAGAATCAGAATCATTTTTATTGCCACGTAAGTAACAGGAGGTCACAGACTAGGAAATTGCTTTGGCTCAGTGCAACAGTCAAAAAGAGATAATAAAAATAAGAATAAAAAACACTTCTAAAGAATAAATTTAAATTTAAAATAGAGTTACAGTTACTATTTACAATATACAAGTGCACATGGTGCACACAATGTAAGGTGACAGCAGTACAGTGAAGTAAAGTGACGTATGATGGGCAGTAAAGTGACTTTATAAAGGGCGGGGGGACAGGTTAAGAAGTGTTCAAGAGTCCATTAGCAGAGGGGAAGAAACTGTTCTTGTGGCGGGAGGTTCTAGTCCTGATGGACCGCAGTCTCCTGCCTGAGGGGAGCGGTTGGAATAGTCCATGTGCAGGGTGAGAGGGGTCGGCTCATCCTTGAATGATATAGAATCACTAAATATTAGTGTTATTTTAAGTTTAGACATTGCAACAATTTTACAAATATTTAAATTTAAGAAAAGAGAACCTGTTTTCATCATAATGTTGTAATTCTTAAAACAACATCTGAAAATGTACTGTATGCTTATAGTTGTATTCCTAATCGGTCCTGATAGTGCCTCTACTTTTTGACTAAACGTTATTTTTTGATCATTGTTTGCAATTTTGTTGGATGGCAAATATATTTAGGGCTATACAAGAGTAAATTGTTATGATCTGTTAGTTGAGATGGACGGACATGTCTTAGTATACAGTCTATGGTCTTAGTAAGTTTACAGTGATGCCATACTCTTTCCATTATAGAGTATGTTTAACGGAAAGAGTCCGTCAAATCTTAGGAAAGCTTTGTATACCTTATCACTGCTTTAATATTCTTCACAACTTTAACCCTGACCTCTCTGATGTGCTTCTCAGCCTCCATGAGGCTGTTCAGCTCTGAGGCCCTCACAGAACATCTGTATTTCGGGTTAGGGTATAGGTAAAACACCAGTGACCTCAAGTCCTTAGTAATGTTTTTAAGGAAATTTAATGCAGAACAAAGCTGTATGAATACTTGTGCAGGCCCAACTTTTCTATTTTTAGAATAATATCTCATTTTACTTTCACTTCTAAGTTGTGTGAACTTTCAGTAAAAGATAAAAAATAAAATCGTTAAGTTTATGGTTGTAAACCTGACAAAAAGTGCTAAAGTTCAAGGTTAAAAGGACTTTCAGACAAGAATATATCAAAACAAGTGTTCTCCTCTCTCACCATCTCTATGCATCACAACAGCATGGCAGTAAAGCACATGGATGCAGTCCAGTCTTGCTGCAGTACCCCCTCCTTGTCACCGCGGCGCTGCTCCTGAGAGCGCCTTTCGAAGGTTGTGCAGTCCACTTCCTGTTTCCTTCTCTCGACTCGGCTCTTTTTTTCCATCACGGTAAAAAATTCCCGGGTTTTTTTTTAATAAGTGAAATTTTACTGCAAAGCACGCGGCCCGGAAACGCCAAAGTCCACAAAGTTTTGCATTTCGGTTGTTGTTTTCAGGTGAGATCCCGCTAACACTTTTAATATGTGTTTGGAACGAGACCATGCGCTAATGCTACTGCCGTTCTGTGGAAAAGTCTTATTAAAAACTTCCCAACGTGTAAAGACCAACATATTGTTAGCTTCCTGCTCCGGGATGTATATGTCTCTGTTGTGTCTTTAAGGCTGGAAACTTGTGGATTCAAGTAGAATATTTGGCTGGTTATTTGAGTTCGTTTAGCTCGCTGTTTACCCCAGATTTGAGCTCGATGTCCCAGAGAAGTCGTCAGCGAGGAATTGTCAGTGTTGCATGTAGAAATGCATTTTAACATTACATCATTAAATATCCTTTGGGTGAATTTATTCGTAGAAGGCTTGATTTTGGAACTAAACTTTAGGCATTGTATTCTTCTGAAAATGAGTTTTGAACACTTGTTTCATGCCTCTCTGATGAGGAGTTCAGGGCCGCAGAGAATATTCATGTTGTTAAAAGCAGACTCAAACACCTTTTTCGATTGGCTTTTGATTAGTATTTATTAGAAAAACTATGTTATTTCGTTAGTAATGTTCATTTTACTCGAATAATCTTTCAATATTTCACATTTTATTGTATTTGGTGTTTACTCTGTAGGAGCTTTCTGCACTAGGAGCGGTCGTCGTTGTGGGGGGTCTGGCTCATGGACCTGGTGTAGGTTTGGAGCCTCAGCTTCATCTCTCCTCTTGGTCCTGCGTCATCCTCTGTAGCTGCAAGTTGCTCCTAGTGCATATAGCTCTGACAACATCAATAAAGTTATCAATCATACCAATCAACGACGTTTTTATACGCATAAAAAACGAATCACCTGTGTAAACATATTTTGTTAAATATTTGTAGTCCTTAAGATAATTGCTTAAAACAAGACGGGGTTAAGAAATGAAATTAAAAAGTATTTTTCATCCTTTTTTGCGACGTGTACAATATGTACTTTGACTTGCACTCTATAGTTTTGAATTGCAATTAGAGTAACATTAATGAGAGAGAAAAAGTAATATTCCAAAAAGCTGTATGTCACTAGTTTTGCTACAGTACCACTTTCACGCAATCATCTCTCAGCCTAAAGTGTCAAATGACTTGCGGGCTCTTTCTTACAAGTATGCAAAAAATTACATGTTTTCTAATAGGATCAAGATTGGTGAGGTAAGTATACACAATTCAAACATAGATTAGATATTTTCCTGAGTATCACTATTTAAAATGTTATTTGCAATAATTACATGCACGTGTCAAGGGTGTGCACAAGTCATCTCAACTAATCAAGATTTTTCCAATAATTGACAATACTTTTATTTTTTAACAATTGATTGTTGACTGTTCTATACACAGACTTCAACACAGATATGTAGTTTTGAAGACTAAAACGACCTTTGGATGACCTTTATACAGCAGGTAGAGGAATATTTATTCCCATTCTGATTAACTTAATAATATGTTTCTCTCTTCACAGAACAAGTGTCATTATGTTCAGTGGATTCCAGGACCTGCCCAGTGTGCCGAACCTGGACGTGTGTGTCTGCTTCAGCTGTGAGCAGATTTTCTCCAGCCGGAAGTTCCTAGAAGAACATGTCTGCTCTAAGCCACTGTACCTCTGCTCCTGTGGGACAGAGTTCACTTCATACAGCGACATGGTGCTGCACTGCGCCTCCCACGAACCAGGCCAACAGGTGCTGGACCATCAGAACATCAAGAAGCAAAGGACTGAAAAGCGCTGGCAGGAAGAGGAGAAGCTGAAACAACTTCTGACCGGGGAAGTGATCTGGGACAGTCCTAAGCCTGGTCCTGGGAGCGCCGCTGTTCAAAAGCAAATGCTGATTTCACCAAATGCAATGCAAAATGTTACCCCAGACACAAACGCAATGGCAAACATTGGAGCTCCAACAGTGGATCTCTGGACTCTTTTCCAGCCTATTGTGACAGTGAAGACAATGCGCTCTTTTTCCAAGGTTCAATCATACATTTGCGGTAAGTGTGGCCAGTCTTTTACAAAGAGAAAGGCCCTGGTGAGCCACCATAACTCACACATCGCCGACAAGGTACTCGGCTGCATTGGCTGCGGGCTTCTGCTCTCCAGCAGGAAGGTAGTGCCACGCTTTCATCCTTGCAACTCCCCAAACAGTAAATTGAATCGGTTCAAACTTATCACTGCTAAACCACTCACTCAAATGGCCAATGGACTTTCCAAGCTTGCAGCTGCCTCTCCAGTTCCCAAAATCCCAAGTCTTGCACCGTCCAAAATTGGTAAATCCTTTGTGCCCCAGATTTCGATTACTCCCCCATCTCAGAGAATCCCAAATCAACGTCAGCCAACCCAAATTGGTAAGGCTTTTGACATGTCTCCCCGTGTCATGGCTGGAAAGAATCCTCTGAAGCCTGTCCAAATCAAACCTGTTGTTTCAAATTCTAAATTCGTGGTGGTGAACACGCCTGCACCTCCACCGCCGTCTACTCCGGCTGGAGTGGTCCTCACTCCTGGAAAAGGCTATGAGTGTCGCGTGTGTCATGTCTACTTTGAGAGCATCAACGTCCTGCAGAGGCACAAGTGTGCCAAAGCTCACGAGTTCCTGATGAAACATAAACTCAGCGCTCCAGGGAACAGGCAGAGGTCAGCGGCACCTTTACAAGTGCCCAGTTCATCTGTGAAGAATGTGCCCAAGCCCATCCTGCCCGCCCCCATGAGCAGCACTGATCGCAGACTCTCAAACGTGACTAAAGACACATCCACAGCAGCTGCAGATGATGACTGCTTCATTGTTGAAAGTGGACCAGAGAAACCAGCCGAGGTCATTTACCAAGTCACCTCTTCTGTCCCCATCAAGACGTGAGTTCCAGATGGAACAGAACATTTCACTTTTTGCCGTGTAACATGTAAAATAGTCACGTGTCGCTTCCTTTTCTTGGGCTCTTCACTATGAATTTAAGCATAATCCGATTGAAAAGTTGTATGCGTGGTGAATTTATCTGTTTATTTACGGCACCACTTAGATCTGTGATGTATAGCTGTGTTCATTTGTTATAATAAACTATTTTAGTCATGTCTTTAATTTTAAATAATTTTTTATACAAAACCTTACAGCACACAAATACATTACACATTGATGTTTTAGTGGAGTTTGAACCTTAAACTGTCAACAGACCGATCCTGTAATGTGGACCAGAGCAACAGTGGGACTGGATGTGTTCTTCTTTACAAAGGGTTAATGTAGGCCTGTGTGGGATGGACTTTAGTACAGAAGTCAAAAAAAAAAAAAAATCTATTCATTAATTCAGAATACATGTACATTTACCAAAGGTAACTGGAAGTTCAAATAAAGTAAAACATTCATCCCGTTTGTAATTTTATTATGATGCTATAAGGTCCACTGTTCGATCTTTTATTTTTTTCAACTGGCATCCCTGGAACATAGGAGGCTACACAAATCTTTACTTATAAAGAGCAATTTTTGAAGGACCGTTTTCATTAGGCCCGACTGGGGTAAGGCCCTATTGCTTTCACAATGGTGAATGCAGAGGGGTCGAGATGCGTGACTGACGCATCAGTGCCCGTCACTCACCAAAAGGCGACAGTGCGTGCGTAAACTCAAACACTTTAAAATGATGTATCAGGTTCCATTGAAACCTATATTGTTTTTGCTCTGTGACAAAAATTTTGAACCTTAATTTGACCCCCTGAACATGCATGAAACACATGTGTTTATGAACACATAAACACATGTACCATCATTCTTGATTTAACAGAATTTTGATCAGTTACACGTTGTTCAAAATGTTGGCAAAATTTGACTTTATTGTCAAAAATGGGCGAGTTTTCAAAAAGACAATTAGCTCCCATTTGCACATACAGAGTCTGATATGCAAAAAATGTTAATCCATTGTTCAACTCTAGGGTCTAGGCCATTTGAAAGTGAAATAATTCAAATTGGCCCATTAGATAGAAAGATACTTTATTGATCCCCGTAGGAGAAATTCAAGATTCAATTACATTAATTTCATTTCAGGATTTCATTAGCGCCCGTTACAGACTATGTCAAAGTTTTACATGGGGATAATGACATTCAGTTATTTCAAAATGTTTGAAATTTTGCACATAATTCTGTTTTGCCCTCTTGATTCAAAAAGTCAAGACGCTCAAGACTTATTTTTTACACTGTTGCTGTGGCAACATCAACCACTCCCCAGTCTGTGTCTATGGCAAATGTACACCTTGCACAAATATCAAACCAGCTTCGGCCGTTTCACTGATTTGGCTGAATATCGCTCCATCTCAACACATGTACTATCAATAGTTCATAGAATTTTGATTAGTCACATGGTCATCGCTGGGGGCATCAGTTGGTAGAACATTGGCCTTTGGCCCTGAAGGAGAGTTGGACTATTCTCCTTTTCTTTAAGTTTTTTTTTCTTTTTTCAAAAGACTATGAGACCATTGAATATATTTCTTGTGCATTGTATTGCTAATTGGTGTGTACATAATATTTTGCATATTTTCTCCAATTTTTAAAGCCTTGTGACTTTAGGCCCGCCCACTGATCATGTGACAACCACCATTCTGCTTAAATCTGCACTGAGACCTGAGACACTCCTCTCGAGTATGCCCTGAAGAAGGCCAGAAGGCTGAAACGCGTAGGCGAAATGTTAACCTCTTTTGCCATGTGTAATAAAGACTTTTAAAGATTTTTGCAACTTTTGAGGGCCTCAGTCTTCTGTCTGAACTTTCAATATTGGTCCCTCCACTGAAGAGCACCAAAAGTTAACTTTTTTCCTTATTTAATTTTTACATCCAAGAAGCACTCCTGCCCTGTCAACGGTTGTCATAAAACATATATGAAAGACTCATCGGAGTGCAATATATCATGCCTTTTTTGTTATAATCTTGATAATTGTCTCACAGTTTGTTAAAACCCCAAAAGAAACATCCCTGAAAAAAAATCCCGGTGTTTAAAAAAAAAAAATGGACTGTGAGCCACATTTATTAAAATTAGAACAAAGGCTTAGCACATCTCACTTTGCCGTTGGTTTCACATTTTACGTTGAATTACAGAGATAAAAACTTATTATATTACAATTTAGTTTTAGTTCAATTGAGTTTTACTTGTACTTACACTTTCATGGACACAGAAAAGACACTCAGTATTGTTTTAGATGTACAAATGTCATTTATTGTGTGGTTTCATAAAGACAGCAGGCTGTAGGTCCAGTTGGTCAGACACAGGTGAGACCTGAGGTGGTCTTAGTTGGAGGACATGGTGCTGCGGATCCAGGAGTTGTAGTTGCAGACCTTGGCGTAGACTCCAGGCTTGTTCCTCTGGGCACATCCATAGCCCCAGGACACCACTCCCTGCAGCTGACCGTTGCAGACCACAGGGCCGCCAGAGTCACCCTGACACACACCATAATGTTAGCATCCATGCTATTTCTCATTCACTGCTTACAGTTGTGTTCCCTTACCTGGCAAGAGTCCTTTCCCCCCTCCAGGAAGCCAGCGCAGAACATGTTGGAGGTGATCTGTCCTGGATAGGAGCCTCTGCAGCTGCTGTCACTCAGGATGGGAGCATCCAGGCACCTCAGGCGGTCGGGGTAGTTGCCTGTTACGGTGATAAAACGCATACATTTGAGTTGGTACTTTGGTTCCGCTTCTACACTTCACACAAAGTTGAAAACGGTACTGACTTCCAGAGCCGCTCATGTTGCCCCATCCGGAGATGAGACACCTGGTACCAGAGGAGGCACAGCTGGAGGGCAGGGCCACGGTCTTCACATAGCTGTTCAGGGAAGCGGGTTTGCTCAGCTTGATCAGCATGATGTCGTTGTCCAGGTTACTGCTGCTGTAGCGAGGATGCTTGATCACTTTGGCAGAGTTGATGAACTGCTCAGTGCCTTCGTTCACAGCAATGTTGTGCTCGCCAAGACGCACCTGGATGCGGCTAATGGAAGCACAGTTAGCTCAAACAAATCTAAAAGCCTGATCCCATGGCCTTTTCTTGTACTTACGACTTGTAGCAGTGAGCAGCAGACACCACCCAGGTGCTAGAGATCAGGGAGCCTCCGCAGAAGTGGTAGCCCGAGTTCAGAGACACCTGGTAGGCAACAGCGTTCTTTCTGCACTCGTAGCCTCCGACAATCTTGTCATCCTCAATGGGAGCGGCATCTGCATTTTAAAGAATTGCTACATTTTATACTACTCTTGTCAAAGCTGGAGTACTAACTAACTAACTAACTTGAAAGCCACCAGTAATGGAACTATTTAATGAAGTCCATAAGACTAGCTGTATGAACATTTTGAGGATTGATGTGAAATTTTTAGTGTTACCATTATTCATTTCACATTGTGAAAACAAAACAGTTTGCTTCCATCACTAGTTTTCACATGCATGTAATTTTGGCCTCTGTCACATCTATACATCAGATTTATCAGGTAGAAAATAAAAAAAGTAGAGATCAGCTCTCGGCCCAATGTCCCAAATGGTGACTCACATGGCTCATTCTCGCAATTATGCAAAATATATCATGTTTTAAGGGTAAAGAGTTTATTTGAAATAAAAAACATAGTACCCTTTAAGGTATTGTCAAGCTCAGCACTCTTCCACTTCATTTACTTGAGGAACAGATGGTCTCAGGGAAGATAAATCCTACTCCACTACTTATACATTTAGAGGTGGTGTACCCATTTTTTGATCACTATAATATTGCATTTGTCCAATAATTTGAACCGATCAGACCAAAATATGCTGTCTTCACAATTTTAGAAAACATGTTTATGCTGATTGGCTGAGTGAGGGTGGTCCTATCTTTGTCACTTTTCTGTCTGACAAATGTATGGATGTGACAGAGGTCAGAAATACATGCATGTGAAAGCTAGTGATACTGTTTTTGAGCGTGTTTAATTTGACAGCAAATACTGGAACAATCCTACCAAACAGACATACATCAGAAAGAGTCTATGGAAAATAAATAACGAGAAAACTAAGTATTATTATTTGAATGGGAAGAAGTTAGACTTACAAGCCACGGCGCAAAGAGCCAGAAGAATGAGAGCCTTCATGGTGGTTCCAATTTGAGTCTCGGTGTCTGCTCACCTGGAAACAGTTCCTTATATACCTGCTGAGACCCTCATATCTAAACTGCCCAAGGTCACCACTTCTATTTATTCATGTGAAAACAGCATCTGTGTCTACTGCAAGTAAGCGTATGCACTTTCACAGTTTTTGCAGATCAAGCATTTTTTAGTCTACCTCAAATTAGATCATATTTTTCTCTGTCTTATTTTGTGCATATTTTGAGAATGGTTTTGGATCTGAATGATCAATTTTATCTTAAAGCTGGAGTACCTAATTTTATTGTTTCCTTAATAAAATGGTTGTTGATTGTTGCCAGAGAAAAAGTGTGATAAATGCTACATCATATTAAGACATTTGTGCTGTTTGTGCTCATAGGAAAAAGATTGTGGAAAATGTCAACATAACAATTAAGAACTGAATGAACCATGAACTGCCACATTCATTGTTGTGTTTAATTGGACCAGTTCAAATGCTTTTTAATGCTCAAGAGCCACAGTTACACTCGCTTTCTGCCGCTTATGAAACACCAGCAGCACAACCCTCCCAAGCCCAGGCCAAGCAATCCCATAGTATAGGAAAATCCATCCAGTTTGTATTTATTATCAAATTATTTATTTCAAACCCGCACACACATACAGTATTTAAAAATCTTCACAGAAATGAAAATAAAATACATGTATGTGGGTTGAAAAAAGCGATTGGATGACGCAAATGCCGATATTTATGAGGGTCTCAGCACTATCCCCCTTTCAAACAGAAACTATAAAACAGCACTATGACAATACCTTGTGGTAAACAGTGACCTATGTACTGCACAGGTGGACAAATGCAAGACAAAATAGTATTAATAACCTGGCCTTGTGGAGGTCTCAAGGACCACAGAGACTTTCGTTGTTTAGGCTATTTGTGCCGAAGGTTTGGCCTTTTCTATGATGACGTAGATTTCCATATATAATGTATCTGTGTCTTTTGTTCTGCCTGAAAATTAACGACCATTTTGTGAATAAACCAGCCAGGAGGCTTTGTCGTACAAAGATCCCAATTTGCATGAGTCTGATTCTTATCAGGTGGTGGAAGAATGCGGCGCTGAATGCGACTCTGCCTCGGCTGTTGTGAGAAAGTTTTTTTTCAGCGTGAGAGAGCTGAGAGCATCTGGAATTGGGTGCTATCTACCAAGCTGAAGAGGTGACGATTCCGGGGCTTTTTTGCTCTCTCACTATATTTTTTTTGTGTCCTCTTTTTTGGACTGACAAAGCGTTTAAATTTGTTTTTCCATGTCCATATTCCAGGGATTTCTGACGGGTGATTGGTCTCTGCCGATGGAAGCTAGTTCCCGGTACTAGTGAGCGCTGGTTCATGATCTAGAGACCTAGTGGTTGGACGTGGAAAAGCTGATATTTGGTGGACTTTTGACGGTACCTGGGCCCTGTTCGACAAAAGGTAAGAGCGGACACCTGTTTATTCAAAGTCTGCTAATTGAGTGAACTAAATTATGGTCTGTTTTGAGGTCTGCCAAATGTCATGTATCTAAAGATCAGATTAGATTAAAAACAGGTTCGCTACCTGACGGGGTTAAAGTCCCTTTGAGAAAGTCTCGGGGTTAAAGTCCCTTTGAGAAAGTCACGGGGTTAAAGTCCCTTTGAGAAAAGCCTCGGGGTTAAAGTCCCTTTGAGAAAGCCTGACGGGGTTAAAGTCCCTTTGAGAAAGTCTCGGGGTTAAAGTCCCTTTGAGAAAGCCTCGGGGTTAAAGTCCCTTTGAGAAAGTCTCAGGGTTAAAGTCCCTTTGAGAGAAGTCTCGGGGTTAAAGTCCCTTTGAGAAGAAGCTTCAGGGTTAAAGTCCCTTTGAGAGAAACCATGGTGTAAAAATAAAAAATAAATAAAAAGGGAGGAAAAACGAGTGCAGAGACCTTTGTTGCAAAAGTCCTGAAATTGGCCAATTTCAAGTTTAATGAGTGACAAAAGTTGAAGCAATAACATCTGTTATATATCAGTAATCACAGTTTAAAACTGCATATAGAAAAAGGGAGTTTTGGATTTTGTGCCTGGACAGAGCTCACCAGAAGATGCAGAGTTTTATTTCCAGCTAAACTTTTGTTTATGTATTTTGGTTTCGGTTCAGATAGTATTCAACATTTTTAAGAAAAGCCCTTTGAAGCTAAACAAGTTTTCAAATCTTGCTGTTACGTATTTTTCATTGCCCTCTGGGAGTGTGTGTGACTGCGCGCCGCACAGTGACTGCGCGCTCTCACACGGCAACCTGTTTCGGGTCTAAAAATAGACACTGCATGCAGATGAGCAGTTTGTCTTCTCTCTCATCTTCTCCCGTTAAATTTGTGTAAATTAGAGTTTAAATTTTGGGTTTTAGAAAGCTTTAAACGCAAGTACTCAACAGATTTGGCTTGTTCATTTTTATTTTTATCGTATGTTTATTTTTCATAGTTGTAGAACTAAGAACGCTTCACCATATTCTTTGAATTTCTCGCTCTAATCTTGCTTTTACTTTTGCATTGCTGTTATATCGTTTAAATTGGTTGTAAGAGTTTGTATGATTCCTATGTCCTCCCATTACAAAAACACATAGTTGAAATAATTAAGATGGCTTGTTAAAAGTGCATGAATATTGACTTTTTAGTCTGAAAGAATATTGGTAAATAACAGCAATGCATTAAATCTTAAAATTTTTCCCCTTTTCGCTTGGTTGTGGGAATTCTTGCATGCGTTTTATCAAAGTCCAGCCGTGAGCGCGTGGGAGTGCGGGAACGGCTCCAAAACACCTGCCGCTTCTCAAAATACAATAATCTGTTTCTATTCGTTTGTGTGCATCTAAAAAAACGTGTTCACTTACATATTCCATTTTATTTTTATTATTAATATTATTTTTCTTGTTTTTAACTCCAAATGTTAGAATTTATTTTTTGTAATCTGGCAATTCTTGAAATATACAGTTTGCATTTGGCTACATTTTTGGCTCACTCTATCAAAAATATATTTTTGTGCGCGATAATTTGAATTGTTTAAAAAATAGAATATCAAGTTATTTCTGCTATTATTCTGTGCCCGAACTGTTGGTATTTCTCTGTCGGCTGTTTCTCTTTCTGCACTTCAGCTATTTTTATTATATGTAGATACAAGGCTTTACAAATTATTTTTCTGCATTCATTTATGGTTTTTAGAATTCAAAGCATTGAGTTAGAAAAGTAAACGCTACAGTTTATTTCAAAGTACTCTGGCATCTTCTGGTTAGGTTTGTTTTGAGAAAGTACGGTCCAGGCCAAAATTGCATTGCCGTACGGCATCAGAGTTTTATTTTTATTCTTTCATTTTTGTTCTATTTTCATTTTATTTTTAAACACAGTTGAACAATAATTGCTAATCTAAATGTTGAAGTGGGTAGAATATAGAACTTAAATTGCTTTTTGACTTTAATCCCAAAAACTGTTGAATCTTTAGTCATTTTGTTTTGTTTTGGCTTCCATAATAAAACAGCTCTTTTCCGCGGGTGCATTTTTTACACAAAGCACATTTGTATTTTCCGCATTTTCAAAGATCAGTGTAGAATAAAAAATAATAATTGAATAAAAAGAAGTGTATTTTCTACTTTGAGACTTAATAACCTTTATTTTGCATAAATTCCAGTTTCAATACTGTTACATTCAAATAAACAAATGCAAATACAAGGAGCATTTATTAGCATTTGGTTTATCAAATAACGGGAATAGTTGTTTTGTTTTGTTTTAAAAGCGAATAATATCAGTGCGCGTCGGTCAGTTTGTTTGCGTTTTGTGTTGACCATACCCATACAAAATCCAGTCTAGCTGGGCTCTATTCTATTTTATTTTATTTTATATAGTTGAATTTTGTTTTTTACAAATAATACACATTTTGGTTTTTGTCTGTTTGATTTTTCAGTCACAATTTGAGTCAACATTTCCCGTTCAATTAAGTTTTGGTCCCCAAAAACAGTGTACTTGGAAACCATATTTTATTTTATTTACATTGTATTTTTATTTTTTATTTTTGTTCTGGATTTTGGATTTTTAATGTAATTTTTTTTTTTTTTTTTTTTTTAATTTGTTTTGTTTATTATTATTTATTTTATTTTTCTCCACCTTTTGCCTTGGTGTTGAGTTTATTTTGGCATCCTTTTTATTTTCACTCTTTATTTTATTTTATTTTACGTTATTTTATTTTGATTTTTGCAAAAAAAAAAAAAAACAATGTCTTTCATGAAGATGGACACATTTCTGAGGGAGGTAGAACATTACATACACATCAAGGAAGAGCCATTAAAGGAAGAACAAAGAAAGATTTTACTGATGAAGAAGCTGTTCAAAAAGTATGCAGCGAAGAAACTAATTTCTCGTGGCGAAGATGCCCTGGCTCCGACCAAAAAGCAATGGGAAAACATTTCACAATATCACCAAGGCAAAGTATTGCATCATCGCACCCATCCAGTACTCACCAGAAGAGGCTACGTGACTGATGAAGCAAAGATCAGGAAGCATGAGGAGCTGAAGAACTTCGCATTGGAGCTGTATGACATTGCAAAGAAGATTGCCGAAAAATGTGAAGAACAAAAAATGACACGTATCCTTGTCCTGAAGGAGGGCACTCAAGAGGATCAACCATACAAGCAGAGAAAGAAGTCGGTGACGCTGAAAACTCAGGAGGCACATTCTGCAGACCCAGGACGCCTCAGATCTGGTACCGTGTACAAGGACCTCCATGATGATACGGAGGAGGAGTGTGATGTTGAAGCTACTCAGAGAAGAAGAATTAAAGGAAAAATGCTCATGAGGGAGACCCAGACGCCCCTTCCACGGATAAATGATGAACTTCTGTACCCGGCTTCCGAGCCTGAAGACATGGAAGCATATCACAAGGAGAAGCACAGCTACAAGCAACTGAGCAGGTCACTAAAGGACTTGAGTACCCAGTATTCATCGTCAACTCCATGTTCCCCCCCTCGTTTCAAGAGATCTGCA